TATATACATACGTGCGCGCGCGCGCACACACACACAAATATATATATATATATATATATATATATATATATATATATATATATATATATATATATATATAATCAACCATGCAGCAAACAGGGCCATGCAAATAAAAAAAAATGGTACATAGATCTTTAGTCCCAGTTGGTAACACCAACGGGACTAAAGATGGATCAGCCGGCCACGTGGCTGACCGATCTTTAGTCCCGGTTCGTGTTACCAACCGGGACTAAAGATCGATCTTTAGTCCCGGTTATTTCACCCGGTACTAAAGATCGCTATCTTTAGTCCCGGATTCGTAGTCCCGGTTGGACAACCGGAACTAAAGGGGGGTTACGAACCGGGACTACAAACAATTTCTCCACCAGTGATAGAGGCTATAGAGATTTTCTTAACTATTTGTACTCTTAAAAAAAGAGACATGGTGATAGTTAGCCAATCAGTCATAGTTGTTGATAACTAGATTTGGCAATATAGGATCGAGTTATAGCAAGTTTGAACCAAATTTAAAAATTATCGGAGCTTTCTGTGAAGGCCAGTCTGATCGCCATTGTGTGGTCTATTAGACCGAACAATGCATTGCGGTCAAATCGCAGGTGTCCAGATGGTCAGACCTACAACATAGAGTTTGAATCCAATTTAGATATTTTTCGTGTTTGATCGGGATTTCTTGATTTCTAGTTAATTTCTAAGCATAATTGGATGTGGAAAAGATTATGGGAAGCAAGTCCACCCATTTTATTAATATAAGGAGGCTAAGACCGATCGAAACAAGAACAAATCAATCATCAAGACCAATTTATAACGCAAACCCTCTATATTCTACACATGCATCTCCCTCCTTACTACCTATCCCAAAGTCTATTCTTCTCCAATCCCTCAATATTCGTCCTCTTATCTCTACGAGTTAGAGGATGTCTTAACTAACCTACCGGGCCTAAGATAAACCGGCGTACGTTTACCCTGACGGGGCCTCTTTCAGATGTTTGTTTAGCAATATCTACCAACTTCCTATGGCGGCACATCTTCGGGTGTTGCTACGGGTTGCACATAACGCGCTTAAGGTGTAGCGGCGTGACTCGGCGCCAACAAAAATGTCAGCCCACTAACTCTATTAATTATAAGAGTAAAGTGTACGGGCGGTTCTTAAACTTGTAGGGGTGTGTCATCTAGGTCCCTAGACTCTTAAAATGCATATCCAAATCCCAGAACTTGTTATAGTGTATCATCTAGGTCCCAAATCACCATAATCCCTTCAGGATCCTACGTGGCGTTGATGTGGCATGCCACGCGGATATGACGTGGCATTATTTTGACTGACAAATGGGACCCATTTAATTTTCTCCCTTTTTCATTTTTTCTTCTCTTTTTCCCCTTTTATTCTCCTTTCTCTATGACCCGAGCAGAAGAAAGGAAAAAAAAGAAGAATGAGAAGAAAACAGGAAAGAAAAGGAAGAAAAAAAAAGAAAAGGACACGTCATGTCCATGTGGCATGTCAAATCAGCGCCACGTAGAATCCTAGAGGGGATGTATGTATTTGGGACCTAGGCGATACATTTTGAGAGTTTAGGGATTTATATGACACAACTCTACAAGATTAAGGACCGCCAATACACTTTACTCTAATTATAATATATTTTTATGAACTACTCGTGTAGTTCTCCACTAAAGAACCTAAAATCTCTGTGCATGCAAATGTCATATCCGAGGTACAGTCCCTAGCATGCATGGATACACAAATAATAAAAGATCGATAGAAGCAGCAGAGATGACAATGATATAGTATGCTTGTGTGCACGATGACCAGCTTGGCGCGGTCTCCCCGCGAAGAATAGTATGCTCAGGACAAAAGTCATTTTACCCATCGAGGGACGTCATCTTATTTTCGATGTGTTATTTAAATATTTATGATATTTTTCTAAGAAAATAAAATATAGATTAACGTGTGATATATCACTTTGATACGTACAAGTAGAAATAAAGCTTTATTAATATTTTTTTCAACTTGCATATCAATCAATGGAGTGATATATAAAGATCTAGACTGTAATATCCTGAATTCTTAAGAGATACACGCTCCGGTTGATATATAATACTTATCGTTTTAGACAAATGCATGATTATAAAAACAATTTTAATCTCTATTTTCTATTATAATATGTATAGAAGTGTTAACAAATATATAATTTTATTGAAGTGCATTTAAGACAAATCTATACATATAGTCACCATATTTTGAAGATACATATTTTATAAATTATTCATAATTAAATATTTTAAAGTTTAATTAACTCGGCCCTTGTCCAAAACGATAAATATTATCAACATAGTGATATATTACATATTGATCTATCTTGTTATTTTTTAAAAAAAAAATTCATAACCATTTAGTTGATACTCCCTCCATTTCAAATTGATCTGTATATAATTTTTTTGAGGTTATTCTTAAATGATCTACTCCAACGTTTGACCGTCCGTCTTATTTGAAAAAATCATGAAAAAAATTAAAAAGATAAGTTACGCATAAAATATTAATCATGTTTTATCATCTAACAACAATGAAAATACTAACTATAAAAAAAATTTCATATAAGACAGACAGTCAAATGTTGGACACGAAAACCTAAGGTTTATCTTTTTTTGGAACGGAGGGAGTACATATTTGTGTTCATTTATTAGGTCTATTCGTTATTTGTCCATTGGAGTAAATCGACATTGATGCATGCATCCATGCATACATGTATTTATAACCCACATGCAATATCTTGATTTGCTATTGGCTAGATAATAGTGGGGATGGTGCATGAATTGAGTTTGTTGCTAGAGTAAATATAGTATAAGAGCACGTACAATAGCAGGCTATAAACCAGCTGCAAATATATTTTAAGAAGATAAATAAGGAGAGAGAAGAGAAGCGGGCTACTGATTTGTAGCCAGCTGTAGCACGAACTCCAAGACACAGTGTGGGTATGACAGGTGGGACTAGGTATTAATAGTGTAGTATGTAACTATTGTATGAATGAGCTATTAAATTGGCTATAGATGAATTGGAGCTAGTAGTTGGCTATACTATTGAACTTGCTCTAAGAAAGTTATTAGGTTTTTTTGGTCTTGATATATCTATAAAATATATAGATCAATTTGAAATGGAGGGAGTATGCAATAAATGAGTAAACATTCACTCGGTTGATTATAAGAATCCATCTCCGACTTCTCTTAGCTAGTCAGAGCGACAAGCAATTAATGACATGCGCTGGCATAGCAACTGGGCTGGTCATGCATGGGTCAAAGGAACAATAAGGCTGTGTTTAGTTATTGGGCCAAATTTCTTTTTAAGTATATAGACACACATTTGAAGTATTAAAGGTATACGAATAATAAAACAAATTACAGATTTTGCCTGTAAACTGCAAGATAAATTTATTAAGTCTAATTAATCTGTTATTAGTAAATATTTACTATAGCATCACATTATCAAATCATGGTGCAATTAGGCTTAAAAAATTTGTCTCGCAATTTACATGCAAACTGTATAATTGGTTTTTTTTCATATTTAACATTCTATGTATGTGTCCAAATATTTGATGTGATATTTTGGCCAACAATCAATTTCCCCAGTTGCACGATACAGTGCGCGAGAATTAATGAACGAGAGCGATATAATAGAATGAGCTAGGGAGGAATCTATTGTAATATTTACTAGTACTACCTCCGGCCCATATAAATTATAATTCTAATTTGTTTAGCATATATTAAGCTTTGAAAGAAAAATACTATAATATATCTCTTATTAAATGGTGTATATGTAAGAGTGGAAGGGTAGTTGAGGGTAAATTAGTAGAAATTTGAATGGGAAGTGATTAATAGAACCATTAGTACTTTATTATGACAATTATTTTAGGACAAATCTAAATCTTAGAAATACAATTATTATGGGACAGAGATACTCCTTTCAGTTCTATAATAATTGACGTTTTAGACAAGATTGAGGTCAAACTTTTATAATTTTGACCATCAATAACTTTAAAAGTATTTAGTTTAAAAAAACTAAAACAATATATATAGATTTGTCTTTCAAAGCACTGTAATAAAAGTTAACATGAACATGTATTTATTTATTATATATATTATAATAGAAAAATAAGATCAAAGATATATTTTGTAGACCGTGTCATTATCCAAAATGTCAATTAAAATGAAAACGGAGGGAGTAGTAGTTTGTAATAATTATAAGTATTTATAGATTAAGGCTGAGTTCTTAATTTCCCCAACTTTTCCAACTCACATCTCTCGTTTCCGCGCACACGCTTTTCTAACTACTAAACAGTGCGTTTTTTGCAAAAAAAAAAATTTCTATACTAAAGTTATTTTAAAAAATCATATTGATCTATTTTTTTTAAAAAAATAGCTAATACTTAATTAATCACGTGCTAATGGGCCGCTCTATTTTCCATGCGCAGAGAATGGTTTCCCAACACACAGGCTGCCGAACACAGCCAAGAGTAGATGTGAACATAGTTTAAACAAAGAGGGTGTCTCTTCATAACCAAGCATAATTAACATGAGCTCATTGATCACTAACCTAAGTCTAATTTTTGGTTGTCAATTTTATCTAAGGTATATAATATCACCTAATAATTTCATAACAGAATCGATATGCTTTTAGCACAAATATATGTGGACCATTTTTTATTATCCCCATGCATGATAGAAAGGTGTAGCTAGAATATATTCTAGATCGAATTGATCCTGTGCAAGTTCCTCCGGCGACCGATCGATCACATCCAGCTGCGTCAACTTTTCGTACGTATGGAAGTGGATTTTTTTTCTGTCGAGGGGATGTCCCCTCATTTTGTGCAAGGTGTTTAAAAAGTTACCCAAAAATTAAAATAAATATTAAGATAGATCAATATATGATATATCTTTTTGTAAACATACAAATTAAAATCCGACTTATACATTCCGAAACAAAAATAACAAATTTGACTGTGAATTACGCATTTTGTTTATAGTCAAATTTTTTATTTGTTTCTACTTATATAAGTCGAAGTACAGTAAATAGTTAATGGCGTCTCCGGCCACTTCTTCCGCTATCCTCGTCGTCGTCCTGGTGGCGAGCCTCGCCGCCGGCGGCGCCAACGCGGCGACATTCACCATCACCAACCGGTGCTCGTTCACGGTGTGGCCGGCGGCGACGCCGGTGGGCGGCGGCAGGCAGCTGAGCCCGGGTGATACGTGGACCATCAACGTACCCGCCGGGACAAGCTCCGGCAGGGTGTGGGGCCGCACGGGCTGCAGCTTCGACGGCTCCGGCCGTGGCAGCTGCGCCACCGGCGACTGCGGCGGCGCGCTGTCGTGCATGTTGCTGTTATTTCAGCTGTGGCCCCGATATGATCCAGTCTTGGCAGTTGCAACGGCTGGAGGAATAAAATCCGTTTGAAGTTTGTTATGCATGCATGAAGTTGGCGGCGAAGCTACGGAAGGTGGTGACGATTGCGTCAGGCGAGCGGAATGGCATTTTGCATCTGCATGGAGTCCGGGAGGAACCGAGTCGTGGGATGGCACGATTTTAGGCCTAGGATTCCTCTTTCTGTTTCTAGAGTATAAGTAGCAATCAGTTCCTTTTTCCCTTGTAAGTTTTTACAATTCAGTTGAATGAAAAACCCCAGAAAATTGCCCCACATTTGCTCGTAATTTCGCTAAGTTCTGAAATTCCTCGATACTCTGTTCTTGCTCTGTTTTCTTCAGTTTCGTCAGTTAGCTGTGCTTGGAGTTTCTGTGCCGGACGGTTACAGTTCATCCGGAAGGTGTTCGATCGAAGTTCTGCGTTTTTCGCTAACAGTGCACGCTCTCCGGGCAGCCGCCGCTGACGCTGGCGGAGTTCACCATCGGCGGCAGCCAGGACTTCTACGACCTGTCGGTGATCGACGGCTACAACTTGCCCATGAGCTTCTCCTGCAGCTCCGGCGTGACGGTCACCTGCAGGGACAGCCGCTGCCCCGATGCTTACCTCTTCCCCGAAGACAACACCAAGACACACGCCTGCGGCGGCAACAGCAACTACCAAGTCGTCTTCTGCCCATAAGTTGATGATCTCATGCATGTAATGTATACGTATACATCATGGGACAATATATATATATATATAAAAAGTTGATGAATAAAACGACACCTTGATCGATAATCATCCATGGATCGGACGATATCGATGCAGGTGGAGATATCCCTTCTTTCTATAAATCTAATGTCCACTAAGTATTTAAACCTCAACATGTAAGCATAGTATTTATTAGCACTCCTGAAATCTACATGCAAGTATGCCACATCGACCCATTAAGCATACAAAACTCAACATACAAGCATATAATAATTATATCTACAATTTATTTCATTGTAAAACTAGACATACACATGCTAAATCATCATTCTCAAATCATTTTCATATAATATTTTAATCCAAATTATTTTGTCATTTCTCCAATATCTAACATATATCCCATAGCAAAGCGTAGGGCATCATCTAGTAATATATATATATATATGTACTCGGCCACGTGTACAACTGTTTAATTTTAACCTCTTGTTCAAAACATAAATGGAGACGTTTGGGCCTCTCAAGGTTTGAAATGAAACGTTAGAGTAATTTTGTGTGGTAATATCTTCTAATAATTTTTATGTACTAACTTAGTATGTTCCATGTGTAAGGCCTTCAATATATATGGTTGTCTTCTAACATAATTTCTGCAGCTTTCTAGGTCAAGAAGGTCTTAAAAACAGCATTCTATAGAGAAGAAAATGACCTAGTAATAATTAATAATCTACCTACTGGCCTCTTGAGTATGTATATTTGTATTCTTATTAGTGTTTTGGCAGGCCCTCCTCTTTCATAATGGCACATGTTATTTTAGATAATGCTTGTACTTAATTATACATCAATAATTGTTATTTGTCTTACGGTGGTTTACGATTTTCAGTGCTGCCACATCCAGTACGTGGGGATATATTCAGAAAAGTTTCAGAGCCTGGGCAAATTTTATTATATCAAGTGTTTGCTATGGATTTTTTTTCAGTTCATTGAAAAACATTTAAATTCTATTGCAACTGGAGATAATGTTGAAATATATTGTCTGACACATGTGTGCTTGCTGGCATCGTACGTAATCACTATCATCAGCTGAGTACACATGGAAATGAGCAAGAAAATATCATGTGTACGCGGGAACACGACACATATATCAATCGATCTGTCGACCCCTTTGTTTTTTCTTTCCACGCTAGAAAAAGTGTAGCTTGATCGATATATTCAAAAAATTTAAGTAATTATTAATTATTTTTCTATCATTTGATGTATTATTAAATATACTTTTATGTATACATATAGTTTTACATATTTCACAAAAGTTTTTGAATAAGACAAACGATCAAATATGTTTAAAAAAATTAACGGCGTCGAACCGAGAGAGTATATATAATTAACTCTCACCTAACTGATATATAAATCCCCGCAAAAAAAAACTAATTATAAATAACTCTCATGCATGATCTATATATATATTGCAGCATTAGCTATATACAATATATTTTGTGGCTATAGATATTAATTATTAATATATATGTCCGACTGTCCGTGACGTACGCATGCATGTCATAGCTGCTACTCCATTGACGTCCATTGACGATCGATGCAGATGGACATATGTCTGTACTCGAACACGTATACTACTTGTATTAATATAACACAAGTACATAATTTTGTGTGCATCTTCTAATTTGTAGTATGTGCTACGTACCCTTTTAGCTTACTATGATCCATGCATGGGTGGGCCTTGAAATATGGCTGACTTTTAACATAGTTTCTGCATCTTTTAATTGCTAGGCCAAGAAGAATTAAAGGTCTCTAAAACCTCGTCATTTTAAGAAAAAAGAAAAATGAATTTCGAGTGTGTCTGCCACTGCCATTAGTGCTCAATTGCTTGCTTAATCAAGCACAGGAACTTAACCCAAAGAGACGAAGTTGAGGGCAAACCAAGATTTCATCTGCCTGCGAAAACAGCCCAAGTATGTACTATCCGAATTACTGGGCCTTATGGGCCGGTATGTACATCTGCTGCAGCGAATTGAAGCCCAAACTGTGGATGGTGTACATACTTTGCGGGCTTAAGTGCTGGGCTTCCTGCTGTCTAATTTTGCACATTAATAATTGATTGGCCTTGTTGTTTGGCTTATTCGGAGAATAAACCTGTCGGTGAAATGGCAATCAGGATACCCATTTTCCCGGTAAAACAATTACAAATAAAATAAATAGCATGCTTAAACCATCCTTATAAATAAAAGGCTATACATGTACTAATGCAACTAGGTGTCCCACCTTGCTGGGTCCTAGGTCCACCTTAACCTGCTTACGAGATAGGAATGAGGCACGAGGTGAGCCTCTCACCCGGCCTTGTCCTGGGTTCCGGGCACATGTTAGTCCTTGTAAATCCTACGCTACTCAGTAAGAGGAGCATAGAGAAATACAAAATGTACATCTTAAAGAATAGACCAAGTGCCGCCTCTGACCTAGCCGTGTCCCAGGTCCCGGGCACTGCTTAGTCCTCATGGGTCTCATTTTCTGCAAGGAGTGGGGGGTAGAGACATATGATTAAAAGGCATAAGCTAAGGTCTTCCTCGGTCCCGGCCTCGCCCTGGGATCCGGGCCCGCCTTAGTCTTTGTGGTTTCCACGTTATTCTGCAAAGAAGAGCGTCGAAACATATAAGATAACTACGTTATCTACTCATCGGAGACATCTTCGAGAAGATAACTACGTTATCTACTCGTCAGAGACATCTTCGAGAAGCTCGTCTTAGAGTAAATGAATCATCATCACGAAAAGCGCAAGGGCGCTACCTCAGGACCGGCTAGGGAGATGGATGCGCTCCATGGGCTGCTATGAAGCGGTCCTCTCTACCATAAATGAAACAGGTTTATGGGGAGCCCCAGCCGGTCTAGAGCTGAAAGGACGTTGAAAAGACATCAGTGCGGAGTCATTGGCGTCGGTGACGCCCTAGACGCGTGTCGAACATGCCCAACGCCACCTGATTTAGCCAAACGGGCAAGAGCGGCACTGCAGCGTTGTCTTAGGCAGCCCGAGTTGGCGCGACCTAGCTGTCCCGGACAGAAGCCCGGGTACCCAGGGTAATGCAGGTTCATATCACAATAGAGTTTTTTGAAGACTGTGTTAGGGAACCCGCCGGCAACGACAAGACGGCCGATAAGACAAGACAAGGAGTAGATTTGTAATAATATGAGCCCTTTCTTGAACTATAAAAGGAAGGGGACAAGCTACGGATGAAGGGTTGGACTCTTTAGATCGATACACTTTGCTTTGTAGCCACAAAAAGGCCATATATGTGCACTCAGTTGACCTAGGAAAGCTAACGAAACCAACACAGGAGTAGGGTATTATACCTCCGGGTGGCCTGAACCTGTATAATTCATGTGTCTTTTGCTTGGCGGGGAGCTCGGGCCCTGCAAATCCGATCCTGCGTTAATATCTTCCTCACACCATGCACCACAAATCCCCTGGTCGAATCTTCACACTTGGGGAGGGGTCTCTACTCCCCGCTGTCCGAGGAATCGCTCCCTCGATAAAACCAAACGGCATATTTACAAATAAAAAATAATTTATGATTAAAACTTTTATATATGTGTTCTTAGTGATCTCAAACTTTTATAAAACCTTTATATTTGTGAATAACCAAGATTCATACCGTCATGGGACCAAAATTGCACGATTTTGTGTAGTTTATGGGTGAGAATTTCTGGTTTTGGGGTTTGGGATGTCATACAAACTTGACATAAAGTTGAGGGACCGTTGGTGAACTTACTCCTTATAGTTGGTGATTTGCCAAAATAAAAAGAATTAAATTATCAACTATATAATGTACCAACTATAATCTACTACGTTCGTAAAAAAACAAAAAAAAACAACTAGTACTGTCCAGATACATTACTAAGAGGGTCACATCCGATTTTTAAAAAAGATTTAACGAAGACATAAGTTCAAACTTTTTAAAGAAATAGTTTAAAATTCATAGAAATTAGGATATGTTATATCACATACTACTTATTTTGAGATGAAGTATCATATTATCATTATTTTGAACAGTTCTTTCCTTGAAGATACGTCTACCTAGCTAGTTTACCCGTCATTTAATTTGGTCGTTTTCTTGTGGCGACCGATCGATCACATCTCGCGTATTTATTTCCACAGATTTTTGGCATCACCTTGCACCATCTCGAGTATAAGTGATCGATAGAGGCCGCAGCCAGCCGGAAATTGAAGACTAGTATTCTGTCCGTGATATAATCAACCAATAATATTAATGTACTGCATATTATACGGATGAGTCCTTTAAAGACAATGGGAAAGAGTTTCTTGGTATTTACTTCATCAGAGGCTAGAGCTAAATTATTACTCCATCTCCTTCTGCATCACTAAAACAAAATCACACCATCATAATTTGGATGACAAAACATTATTAAAATCAAATAACAAGGACTTGTGTATATATCCGACATTTTGACAACAGTAGAAAAACTCCCACAATTAGTTGATATGACACTAGTAGAAAAACCATTTTTACAAATGGGCCAAAATGATTTTTTCAGACGGCCATCCACTCCGACTGTGCTTAGCTTCAAGGCCTGTGAAAATACACGATTTTTGCAAGCGGACATTAGCCCCGCCTGCAAAAATGATTTTCGCAGCCGCCATCTCCATGTTCGCAGACGTTATAAACACATGCCTGCAAAAATGTTATCGGCGAACAAAAAAAAAAGCCACCACCCCTACCCACCACCGCCCTCCCCTCTTCGGCCGCGCCATCGTCGCCCCTCCGCCAGAACTGGGCGGGAGAGGGAGAGGAAGGGTAGGGGAGCCGCACCGCCGCCGCCGCCCAAGGAGGGGTCGCGCCGCTGCCTCCATGACGACAAGGAAAACGACCACGAGCAGCACGAGCAAGGTGCGCCCTCGCCTCACCATCACCGGATCCCTCCCGTCTGCCGTAGTCGGATACACTACTCCCGCACGTCGCTGTTGCCAGATCCCACCACCCCCGCCATTGAACTATGCACCACAGCCACGGAGCGCCACGGCTGCTCCCTTCCCCACCACCGCCGCTAGCAGCACCCTCAGCGAATCTGAGGGAGAGGAGATGAGAAGAGAGGGAGTTGGGACTTAGAAATATCTTATGTTTTAGTTTCCTCCCGCGTCTATTTAAATGTCACAAACAATTTTCAGAGGCAAACGGCTTAAGAGGTCCGCCTGCAAAATAAATATATTTTTGTAGGTCTTAAGCCGTCCGCCTGCGAAAATGGATTTTCCCAGGCAGCACCTTATATGGCATGTCTGGGAAGATAGATCTTCGTGGGTAGATGGCTATCTAGCTCCCCCTTCCTATCTTGCAGGCGAACCGGTGGTGATAAAATTTTCGTCCGCCTAGAAAAATATAGGTACCTCATATGGGAAAATTGTTTTTCCAGTAGAGTGATGGCCTATTCTTCATAAGTGACCGATTGTTTTCATGTCCACCGATCTTTTTTTTTATTTCAGTTTCAAAACACAGCATATACAGCTTATATCTATGTCGTTTGCTTAAAAACAAGCTTACATATGATCAGTCATTGGTCTTATATATGGTGATAAAAAAATAATTTAATTAATTTAAACTAGACAAATAATTTTGTGGGTAGTAACTGCCATAAAAAAAATGTAATCCAGATCCCATAGCATAAAAATGCATCTAAGTCGAGGCATGCAAAACTAAAACAAATTAAGTAAATTAAAAAAGGTGCATCCGTTGAAAAAGTAATACAGATCAGTTGTAATCAAGAAATTTCCAGACAACTACTAACAAACGACAAAACTAAATAAATGAGATAGACGATGTCTTAGATACATTTAGGACTATTCAACATGCCTGATAACATTGTTTTGCAGAATTGCAGTGAATTAGTTACGAACTATTCAACATATCTTTAAACAATATAAATAACATAGCAATTCTAGCTAGTACTATTGCACTCATGTCAATATATATTTTGCACGCACGTACTCCCTCCGTAAAAAAAAATCCTAATTACCAAATTTGTTGCCCTAGCGTGTGTCTCCCATACTCATCTAAATTTTTTTTTAACGGAGGAAGTATGTGTCACATATGTGCTCCCCCTTACAAAATATTTGATGCTTGAAGATTCAGTGAAATTTTTAAAATTTTAACTATTAATATTTTTTCAAATAGTTAATTTCAACACGAAAGAATTGTGCACATATATTTGCCTTAAATCATAATATCATTTTGTAAGCTTAAACTTATTAGGTTTTATAAAATAAATAAATTGTAGTTAAAATATTATCCAACTAATATCTTCAACACATCAAATCAAACAATTATGAACATATGGACAATTTGTAGTTAAGTATGGACACACACCTCCAGATAATTAACTACTCCACTTTACTCGGTCAGAAACTGATACTGAGGCCATATTTAGTTGGGGAAAAAAATTTGATTTGGTTGTCACATCAGATATATACGGATACACATTTGAAGTATTAAACATAGTCTAATAATAAAACAAATTACATATTCCGCCAGAAAACTGCGAGACGAATTTATTAAGTCTAATTAATCCGTTATTAGCAAATGTTACTGTAGCATCACATTGTCAAAGCATGGTGTAATTAGACTTAAAAGATCTGTCTCACAATTTACACGCAAACTGTGTAATTGGTTTTTTTCCACATTTAATACCTGTTGACGTGAAAACACGAGGCCTGGGAGATCTGCTTAACTCCAATGCAGATCCAAAACTCGCCTTCGGGTATGCTAGCGTGCCAGTTGATTTGATCCTGGAATCTCTATCTCGATTCCATCTCGATTCCCCCTTTACATCCGATCCTTGGATTAACAAATTTGGTCGTTAACAATACCCTATGTATGTGTCCAAACATTCAATGTAATAGGAGAAAAGTTTTGTTTTGGGAACTAAACCAGGCCTGACATGGTCATCAAGAATGTCTTTAATTAAAACATACTACCTTCATCCCATATTTTTATGACTTAATATAGTATAACAAATACAAAATTATCCAAATTTATTGTATTAGATTAAGTCACGTCTAATATTAGATTTGTATTTGATGAGATAGAGAGTAATTAGGAATAAATAGTGTTGTGACATTCATGCGCCCAATTCTGAATACTACATATCTCTTCTTTCTATAAAGCTAATGCCACCGAACACCTAAAGCTCAACATATAAGCATAGCAATTATTAGTACTCCTGAAACCTAAATGTAAATATGTCACGTCAGCCCATTAAGCATACAAAACTCAACATTCAAGCATATAGTAATTATATCTAAAATTTATTTTATTTTAAAACTAAACATACACATGCTAAATCATCATTCTCAAATCATTTTCATAATATTTTAATCCAAATTATTTCATTATTTCTTCAATATCTAACATATATCCTGCAGCATAGCACAGGGCATCATCTACTAGTAGTTAGGAATAGAAGTCATGACTATAATACCATGTATACAATGGTTGGTAAAATCTGAGCTAACTATTAATTGATGTTTGATTGGATTGGTTGTGTGCATTTCATCTAAACGTAGTACTCCGAATCAAGTTTTAGCATGAGGTCTGTCGCGTCGCCGATGATCCAAGGCATGTCAAAATAGACAATTTTCCCTGGTGGTTTCACACCCACATGTAAAACTAGATTTTTAGGCGGGTCTCTAAGCCACCATATGTAAAAATCAATTTTCGTAAACGACACCTTGATAAGTGACCAGCATGCAAATACCTTTTTAGGCGAAAAAAAATGAAAATCAAGCTTAGCTTATAAGATCACAAATCATGGATTCACAAACCATGAATTCTTTTTTTAAAAAAAACATAGATTCACAAATCAGCAAGGGGTCACCAAGCACCCCTCATCACTGCCACCGTCACCACCATCGCCAAGCCCCGTCGGATAGTTGTGACCCTCGCTACCATCGCAAGCCCCACTAGATCTAGACAAAAGCCACTACCCTTACCTCCATCGATCATTGACGTAGTCGAGCCCCGCTGTATCTGGCCTGAGCCATCCCCTATGCCACCACCGCCGCCACCTTCGCTTAGTCTTGCTGGTGCTCTCCTTCAGTGCCACCATCGCAGAGCCCCACCACCCCTGGATCTGTGGCTCCTTTGTCCACTCCTTCCATCATTGCTCCTCTTCCTCCACCACGCTGCTCCTGCCCTACTTTACTGCCGTTGTCGTCAAATCTAAGGTGAGAATGAGGGAGGAGAGGTGAGAAGGTGGAGTGCTAGATCGAGGACATAGTCGATCTTGTTTTCTTATTGGAGGGGAAAGATCATTGTGTCCTAACTCTTGCGATGTATTTAACCCTCCTCATGATTTACACAATCGATCTTCTATAATCCCCGCATGTAAAAATCAATTTTACAGATAAGACCGTTTGCAAAAGTAAAGGTTTTGTGGGAGGTCCTCTTTTAGATCTTACATATAAAAATCGACTTTTGCAAGCGAGACTAGATCTATGTGATCGACCTCCTGTTATTTTGATATGTGGGGTTATTTAGTGTTAGGAGAAATCATTTTTTACAGCGACTATATATCTCTCCCTCATCTCCATCTAGATTTTCAAACAATTATCTAAGAAAATCTGAATTTTCAACACTATGGCCCTGTTCTCTTTTCTCCAATAAAAGTTGGATAAATTTTTGATACTCGTGGCATGCTTTTCAAACTAATAAAAGGTGTATTTCGTGCGAAAACTTTCTATATGAAAGTTGTTCCAAAATATCATATTAATCCATTTTTCAAGTTTGTAATAATTAAAACTCAATTAATCGCACGTAAATACCACCACGTTTTACGTGAAACACTTAATCTTTATTTTTATTTTTATCTTAAGTAGATTCAAACACCACCTGGCGCCACTGTTGGAATCAGCCTAGGAACACAAGAACAGAGCTCTCTTTCTCTCACACACAAGAATGGCTGGAGGTTGAAGATGAACAGTGGAGTTTCGGCGACGAACGCCGCGGAGCCTATAGCTCCTGTATCTTGGCTTTATTACTCACTGAAAGTTCACACGGCACTTCCTAAACACGAGCCTACACAGCCAGTTTTATACCCACGGCGACGCAGCGCCCACGCACCCACTTAGCGAGCTTCACGCGCACGTACGCATGGCAGCCTGGACGACCTGGTTTCACGCGTTTGTGAGCCACATACTCCTCCACATGAACGGGCCTCCATCCTTCTCGCATGGCGTGCTCCTGCATGCGCTCAACCGCCAGGACTTGGCCTCTGGACTCACATACATCGAACACACACACACAACGTGTACAGCACCACCACAATGCAGCACACACGCACGACTCCTGGACTCACGACGCCATGCGCCACTGCCGCGCCGCGGCAAAACGCAGGCACGGCCATGACAACGCGTTTATTCCTAACAGCCACATGCATGCATCTATAAATACGCATGAATGCCCCGCTTCTCCTTCCAAGCATATCCTACCACATCGTTAATTAATTAGTAATTAAGAAAGTCGTAGTATCCCGATCGAGTAAACGGAATTGTTAATGGCGTCTCCGGCCACCTCTTCCGCAGTGCTCCTCGTCGTCGTCCTGGTCGCCGCCGGGACTGCGAACGCGGCCATCTTCACCATCACCAACCAGTGCCCGTACACGGTGTGGCCGGCGGCGACGCCGGTGGGCGGCGGCGTGCAGCTGAACCCGGGGGACACGTGGACCATCGACGTGCCCGCGGGGACCAGCTCCGGCAGGGTGTGGGGCCGGACCGGCTGCAGCTTCAACGGCGCCGGCACCGGCAGCTGCGCCACCGGCGACTGCGCCGGCGCGCTGTCGTGCACCCTCTCCGGCCAGAAGCCGCTGACGTTGGCGGAGTTCACGCTGGCGGGCTCCGCCGGCGGCAGCCAGCAGCTGGATTTCTACGACGTGTCGGTGATCGACGGGTTCAACGTGGGGATGAGCTTCTCCTGCAGCTCCGGCGAGACGCTGACGTGCAGGGACAGCTGCTGCCCCGACAACACCAAGCTGCGCCACTGCAACGCCAACAGCAACTACCAAGTCCTCTTCTGCCCATAATCGAACGATGAACTCATCTATGCCCTAGCTTAGCTGCTGGCTATAGATATATATATGTCCATGACGTATACATATGGTTTATAACATTGTCATGTTATATATATGTATCATGGGACAATATATAAATAAAGTTGATGAATAAAACGACACCTTGATCATCGATAATTAATCATCCATGGACGATATCGATGAAGGTGGGCATGATATAACATATATGTACTCGACCACGTGTACAATTGTTTGATCTTAACCTGTTCCAAACATAAACTATTATTTTTTTTAGAAAAAACCTTAGAAGAGAACATAAAGAGCTTGTTTTTATTTAACAAAAAGAGACATGGCCCGGTTTTTTTAAGAGGAAACCGAGCCCAAAAACATAAGCACAGTTTGAAGGGGGAAACTGGACTAAACACTGGTGGAGAAACCATCTTTGGTCGGTCGCCCGAAATCCACAATAGTCTCGGTTCCACTAAAAACCGGGACTAAAGATGATCTTTATTCCCGGTTGGTGGCTACAGCGGGCATATTTGATCTTTAGTCTCGGTTGGTGTTACCAACCGGGACTAAAAATGATCTTTAGTCCCGGTTCTAAATCTGTCAGGCCTTGTCAGGCCCCCCGATATCTTTAGTCCCGGTTGATAACACCAACCGGGACTAAAGATAGGATCTTTAGTCCCGGTTGGTGTTAACAACCCGGACTAAAGATCCTCTCCTCCTCAACCTTATATCCTCCTCTCATTTTTAACTCATCTCTTCAACCTTATCTCCTCTTCTTATTCTTATCTCTATTCCTCTCCTCTTCTTCTCCTCTCCTCCTCTCTACTGCCAAGCCGACGCGAGGGCGGCGGGTCGCGGAGGGCCGGCCGGCCGGCCGGCGCGGTGCGCGGTGAGGCGGCGGCTTGTGGCGGCGGCCGGCATGGCGCGGAGGGCTGGCCGGCCGGCGCGGCGGCGGGGCGCGGTGGGCCGGCCGGCCGGCACGGCGGCGCGGCGGCACGGCGGCGCGTCGGCAGCTGGCGGCAGGGCGCGGAGGGAGGGCCGGCCGGCCAGCCGGCGCGGCGGTGGTGGGCGGCCGCGCGGCGGCGGGGCGCGGAGGGCCGGCCGGCCAGCCGGCGCGGCGGCGGTGCCTCGCCGCGCGTCTTCTCCTCTTTTTTTTTTCTTTTTTTTTTAAGAATCTGAGATTGTTGTGTGAATGTATTTGATTGGATCTGAGATTATTGTGTGATGTATTTGATTTGTGTGTGATATGAATATGTGATGAATTTTGTAGAAGTTGTGATGTAATTTTTTTTTAAGATTTTGTGATGTATTTGAGTATTTGAGATGATCGATTTGTGGATTTGGAGGCAATTTGAGGATGATTGATTTGGGATTTTGGGGATGGAATGGGGTGAAATCGATATATTTAAAAATAATGAAGAAAAGAAAATAATAAAGAGGAACCGGAAAGAGCAACCGGATTAGCCTCTTTAGTCCCGGTTGGTAACACCAACCGGGACTAAAGATGCTTTATCTTTAATCCCGGTTGATGTTACCAACCGGAACTAAAAATGGATTTTTACTCCCGGTTTTTTTACCCGGGACTAAAGATAGTGATCTTTAGTCCCGGATTCGTAGTCCCGGTTCAAAAACCGGGACTAAAGGGGGGTTACGAACCGGGACTACAAAGGGTTTCTCCACCAGTGAAACTCACATGGAGAACAAACTAAAAACTTACGACGGCACAACTAGAGGATAAATATGGGTCATCGTTGCCAAGCTCCAAAGAGCAGCTCAGACTTCCTATGAAAAAAAAAAAAAAAACATAAACAATTATGAAGTTGGAGACGATTGGTAGTTCTCAAGGTTTCAAATGAAGGCGTCAGAGTAATAAATATACACTCTCTCTATCCCATTATATAGTGGTACATGCTCTGGACACACAGACCAAGGATTTATAACTGTTTCCTTCGCCCTGATGCTGAATTGGCACCTCATGACGATTAGGCCTTAAGGTAAAGTTAATGTTCATACCAAAAAAATTTCAAAAAAAAAATCATACTCATTTAATAAATTGGGTATATATCCAATTTATCTTGAGAACCAGGCACCATATATAGAGTCCCATGTAATTTGTCCATAATTTTGTGTGATATCTTCTAATTTTTATGTGCTAACTTAATATGTTCCATGTGTAGGGCCTTCAAAATATATGGTTGTCTTCTAACATAATTTCTGCAGCTTTCTAGGTCAAGAAGGTCTTAAAAACATCATTTTATTGAGAAGGAAAATGGCCTAATTAATAATCTACCTAGTGGCCTCTTTAGTATATTTATATTTTTATTAGTGTTTTGGCAGGCCCTCCACTTGCATGATAGCACATGTTATTTTAGATAATGGCATATATGGCTTGTACTTAATTATACATCAACAATTGTTATTTGTCTTACGGTGGTTTACGATTTTTATTAGTGCGCTGCCAGCCTGCCACATCCAGTACGTGGCCAGGGATTCAGAAAAGTTTGAGCCTGGGCAAATTTTATTATATCAAGTGTTTGCTCAATCGCCTCCTCAGTGTACTCCCTGCAGGTTTGCTAGCTTGCCTCCTCATTTGACGATAATGTTTGTCTATAGAGAATGGATCGCTGCATGTCGTCAACCTCATCTCTTCTCCTAATTAACTTGTTGCATCTTCCATGGCCATGCCGTGCGCCAGCACACTATATATAATCAATCCCCTTCAGTTGCATTGGCAACCCGGCCAGCAGGTGCCATTAATTTTCGTTCCTATCACCCTCCTTCCTTGCTACTATATCCTTCTTATTTGTGTACCTGTGCTCTTATTACTTCAGTCGGAATTGTCTCTTGCCTTCTGTAGTATTGTTTTTCTTTGGAATGTACTGTACCTGTGCAATTTGGGTTGAAAGTTTATCTGCGTTTTCTCTGTGTAAATTCTGATTCTGCTACCCAATTTTATTGCAGTTGGAAGAAGAATGATGATGGAAGGCATTGTCCAGTTTGGATCACGAGCAATCGATCAAATAATTCAGTGGTCTGAGGTTCTATCTATAAAGTCCATGAAATTGCAAAGCTGACAATCATTATTTTATTATAATTTAGATAGGTAGAGATTTTGTAAGAATTACCTTATCCATGTTCGATGGGTAACACACCGAATCTTTTTTTTCACTACCCCAATCTGCTATATATGTGCACACTGCAATGTTGTTTTTTCAAGCTATAACTTAAATTGCTTTAGTCCAGCACCAGACCATTGGATGGAAAAAATAATTCAAATCCAGTCCTTTTAGACTAAGGCCTTTACCTTTCATGATCTAGCTGACATATAAACTTGATCTCATCTATAATATAGTCAGTATGTGTTTTTTCAATGTTTACAGCAACCACAGGGGAACATCGCTACCTGGTCTCACAATATGGATTAACATCTGTTCATATATGCAGGAACAATTCGAATAATTAATTTTTCACCTATGCAATTCCTATCAGATTAGCAAGAAGCATATGTCTGATTAAAACCAACCGTACAATTTACCTTTTTTTGCTTTTCTTCCTGCCATATGGTTTATGCAGTGTGAATAACACAAATGTCAATTGGAATTACACATGACCTGTTAGATTGCTTATATGTCACACATATTAATAAGAACCATACTGTAGAGTTCCTTTTGTTGGTTGGATTCAATTTTAAACATCTCCTTCAATCATACATAATTTTATCCACACAATATCCCACAGCAACGCGCGGGATACTATCTAGTTAAATATATATGGGTGTGACTTTTCACATAATTTCTGCAGCTTTTGCTAGGCCAAGACAAATAAAGGTCTCTAAAACGTACGTCGTCATTTTGTAGAAAATGAAAAATTAATCTCGAGTGTGTCTGCCATTAGTGCTCAATTGCTTGCTTAATCAAGCACAGCGAACTTGAACGGACGAAGTTGAGGATTTGATCTGCCTGCGAAAACAGCCCAAGTACTATCAGAACTACTGGGCCTTATGGGCCGGTATGTACATCTGATGCAGCGAAGCCCAAATGTTGATGGACGATGGTATATATACTTTGCGGGCTGAAGTACTGGGCTTTCTGCTGTCTAATTTTGCACATTAATAATTGAGGGTGTTCCTACTGCGCGCGCACGCGCCAGAACGGGAAGCCAAGCGCGTTTTGGCTTCCCCTACTAACCCTAGCGCTTACCGTGTAAAAAAAGGCGTGCGTTTTTTTTCGTGTTCGCACCTCTCTTTTTTTTTTTTTTTTTGGTCAGCGCGTTTTTTTCCTCCGTTTCTTTCCGATTTTTTTTAATCTTTTGCACACCTCTTTACAAATGTAGAATTGAAAAGTTTTTTTATTTTGACTTTAAAGTTTCTAAATCTTGATTTGAAAGTTTTTAAATTTTGTATTGAAAGTTTTAAATTTGAGTTGAAAGTTTTTAAATTTGCTTAAAAGTTTTCAAAATTAACTTGAAAGTTTTCAAATCTTGACTTGAAAGTTTTTAAATTTTGTATTGAAAGTTTTAAAATTTGAGTTGAAAGTTTTTATTTTTGAGTTAAAAGTTTTCAAATCTGGCTTGAAAGTTTTCAAATCTATGATGAAAAGTTCAAAGTTTTCAAAATTTAACTTCAAAAAGTTTTCAAATCTAGGTTGAAGTTTTTAAATTTGGGTTGAAAGTTTTCAATCTGGATTGAAAGTTTTCAGAATTTGACTTCACGTACAGATTTCTTTTCAATCTATTACTTAAAATAATCTTCGGAAAAAGACAAATCTTATCTTAATTATTATCATTACCTAGAACTAACCGAATCAGTTTTATACGTATAGAGAAAAAATTCCGAAAAAAATAAACGCGCGTCTCGCCAGCGCATGCGCTAAGAATGGCTAAGGATGGGACGTCTGGGCCGGCGCATGTGGGCCGGCGCGTGCGCGCCAATTAGGATTTGCGAATAATTGATGTACGCGTGCTAGCTGATCTTTTTTTTGGCAAATTATTAATAACTATATAATGTACCAACTATAGTCGATCCTATAGAGCAACTATATTAGTCCCTCCATCCCAAAATATTTGACGCCGTTGACTTTTTTAAAAATGTTTTACCATTCGTCTTATTTAAAAATTTTAAGTAATTATTAATTCTTTTTTGTATCATTTGATTTATTGTTAAATATACTTTTATGTATACATATAGTTTTACACATTTCACAAAAGTTTTTGAATAAGACGAACGGTCAAACATGTTTAAAAAAATCAACGGCGTCAAACATTTAGGGATGAAGAGAGTTTTTTTTTTGCTATTACAGCAAACTGATCTTAACAATTTTTTAATTATCTATACTCATTTAAAAGGCTATAGTGGTGGCGGCAGTGGATCTGCCACCTCACCATTGCTTTTTGTAAATTTACAAATCGGCATATGATAATAGTATGTAATGTCCCAGTATTTTTTTCAAATAAGTGATATTTGATAACAAAAATATTTCTATGTCATATTATAATATTTTCTTCTACACATAGCGAAGCATGAATATTTTTTTAGTATCACCTAAATTTCAGTAGGTCCCTGTACGACGTTGTACTGCCATTTTTTTTTAGTTTAACGACGAAAGTTCAATTTTGAAAAAAAATATCATTCAATATATATATATATATATATATATATATATATATATATATATATATATATCACATCTATAGTATAGGTTAATTCATTTTAGGACGGATCACTAATAGAAAAAGCATTTTCGCTGATGTTGGGCTTTTTTTCGCAGGCGGGTATGGCCATCGGAGCGAAAACCTCACCGGCGAAAATAATTTCCGGGGAGGAGTTGGCCATCCGCCTGCGAAGATAGCTTATCGCAGATGGATTATCATCTTATTCGAACGATTCTTTCCACAATAATGCTCTTTCCCGGTCGCCCGGCGCGGGGGGAGCCAGATCGGGCGCTCCCCCCGCGCCCCCTCCCCCACATGCGTACTTGGACCCACCATTTCTTCCTCTCTCTTTTTCAAAAAAGATGTTTCACCTAGTGTATTTACAATGTTTCACTATTTATAGATATAATGTTGCAGTGAATTAAAATATTCTTTTGCAACAAAAAAACCCACATATTTTGGAAACTCTCTATTAAGAGAATTTGGTTTATTTTTTGTTCCACCAAAAATATTTCACCTAGTGTACTCACAATGTTTCACTATGTATAGATATAATGTTGCACTGAACGAATTATTCCATTGCAACAAAAAAAACCATATATTTTGGAAAACCCCTATTAAGGGAATTTGGTTTATTTTTTGTGCCACCGAAAAATATTTCACCTAGTATACTCACAATGTTTCACTACGCATAGATCTAATGTTGCAGTGAACTGAAACATTCTTTCGCTATTTGCTGAAACATTGTTTTTATATAAGGTGAAACAACACTCAATTTAAACGAGTGAAACATTTTCGATCTACTTAGTGAAACAATTCCGATATACCTGGTGGAACATCGTGTAACATTTAAAAATAATTCAATAATAAGCTAAAAAAATTTCGTCGGAATATATCCATGTGTGGTCTTGTTTTGAAAATTTAATTGTAACGAATTTAATGGTGCAATCGAATCATGATTTAGATAATTAATTTAAGAGATAAATCAGTTTAAAGTAATTTTACACGTAAATCGGACGTTGACGTCATGTTGACGTCAGCGCCCAATTTTACCCCCTCCCGATCAGGCGCCCGACCGGAAGTCATCTCCTTTCCATGGAAGTTATATTACGTCTACCAACCTATTTTACCCGTCATTTAATTAATTTGGTCGTCTTCTTCTGGCGACCGATCGGATCGATCACATCTCGCGTATCTATTTCCACACATGTTTTGCACAAAACTACAAGGGATCGATTGGCCAGCCAGCCGGAAATTGAAGACTATTCTGCAGAGGACTCATCCTCTAAGTCGAGGCATGCAAAACTAAAACAAAGTGAATTAAAAAAAAGGAAGTTGTAGTCAAGAAAATTTCTAGACAACTACTAACAAACAACAAAACTTTTTTTATAGGGAAACAAACAACAAAACTAACTAAATGAAACAGATTATGTGTCTTAGATACATTAATTTAGAACTATTCAACATGCCTGATAACACTGTTTTGCAGTGAATTAATTACGAACCATTCAACATTTCTTTAACCAATATAAATAACATGGCAATTCTAGCTAGTATGTATTCTGCACGCACGTATGCATCACGTATGTGCTCCCCTTTAAAAAAATTGATGCTTGAAAAAAAGTTCGGTGAAATTTTTAAAATTTTAACAATCTATAATTTTTCAAATAGTTAGTTAATTTAAATACGAAAGAATAGTGCACATATATTTGCCTTAAATCATAATATCATATCATAAACTTAAACTTATTATATTAGGTTTTATAAATAATTTAAAATATAGGTAAAATTTTGGCCAAATCTCCTCAACGCATCAAATCAAATAATTATGAACAGATGGAAATGGACAATTTGTAGTTAGGTATGGACACACACCTCCAGATAACTATATATACTTTACTCGGTCAGAATCTGTCATACTGATGTGGTCATCGAGAAGGTCTTAAAAACATAATTAGGAATAAATAGCGTGGTGACCTTCATGCACCCAGTTCTGAATACTGCATAATAGGAATAAAAATCATGACTGTAGTACCATGAATACACTGGCTAGTAAAAATCTGAGCTAACTAGTAGTATTAATTGATTGGATTGGTTGTGTGCATTATTTCATCTAAACGTAGTACTCTGAATCAAGTTTTTGCATGCGGTATGGCGCCGCCTATGATCAAAGGCGTGAAAATAGATGATTTTCGTTAGCGGTCCCACATCCGCATGTAAAACTCGGTTTTATGCGGGTCTCTAAACCACGTACAAAAATCAATTTTCATAAAAGGAGCCTAGCAAGTGACCTGCATGCAAATACCCTTTTAGGCGAACAAAATGAAAATCAAGTCCAACTTACCCTATCACAGATCATGGATTCACAAACCACGAAAAAAAACATAGATTTAAATAATTGGTCCTCTTTAATACCTTCCTGTTAAGATCTCTAGATAAAACCGCTTGCAAAAGTAAAGGTTTTCGCAGGATGTCCTCTTTAGATGTCCTGCTTGTAAATAGATACCTCCCATTATGTTTACATATGGGGTTTTAAGTAGCTAGTGATTAAATCTCTCTCTCTCACACATCTCCATCTAGATTAATTTGCACACAATTATCTACTAGCTAAAAAGAAGAGAATTTTCAACACTATAGCATCTATAAATACGCATGCCCCTTCATCCCTTCTCCTTCCAAAGCATCTCGATCCTACCACATCGTTAAGAAAGTCGTATAGTAGAGTAAATTGTTAATGGCGTCTCCGGCCACCTCTTCCGCTGTCCTCGTCGTCGTCCTGGTGGCGACCCTCGCCGCCGGTGGCGCCAACGCGGCGACCTTCACCATCACCAACCGGTGCTCGTTCACGGTGTGGCCGGCGGCGACGCCGGTGGGCGGCGGCGTGCAGCTGAGCCCGGGGCAGACGTGGACCATCAACGTGCCCGCCGGGACCAGCTCCGGCAGGGTGTGGGGCCGCACGGGCTGCAGCTTCGACGGCTCCGGCCGCGGCAGCTGCGCCACCGGCGACTGCGCCGGCGCCCTGTCGTGCACCCTCTCCGGCCAGAAGCCGCTGACGCTGGCGGAGTTCACCATCGGCGGCAGCCAGGACTTCTACGACCTGTCGGTGATCGACGGCTACAACGTCGCCATGAGCTTCTCCTGCAGCTCCGGCGTGACGGTCACCTGCAGGGACAGCCGCTGCCCCGACGCTTACCTGTTCCCCGAAGACAACACCAAGACACACGCCTGCAGCGGCAACAGCAACTACCAAGTCGTCTTCTGCCCATAATGCATCATCTCATGCATGTAACTAATGTAGTAGTATATGTATCATGGGACAATAATATAAATAAAAAGTTGATGAATAAAACGACACCTTGATCGATAATCATCCATGGACGATATCGATGCAGGTGGACATATAATATAATATATATGCACTCGACCACGTGTGCAATTGTTTAATCTTAAACTTGTTCAAAATATAGAGTATTATGAAGTTGGAGTCGATTGGACCTCAAGCTTTCAAATGAAAGCGTCCGAGTAATAAAGATATATATACTCCCTCCATCCCATTATATAACGGTATATACCTGCTCTAGACACATACTGGACAGACCAAGGATTTATAACTATTTCCTTCGCCTTGATGCTAAATTGGCACCTCATGGTGATTAGGCCTTAAGGTAAAGTTAATGGTTCATACCTAAAAATTTTCAAAAAAAAAATATACTCGTTTAAATTGGGTATATATCTAATTTATCTTGAGAACCAGGCACCATATATAGAGTCCCATGTAATTGGTCCATAATTATGTGTGATATCTTCTAACTTTTATGTACTAACTTAGTATGTTCCATTTGTAGGGCCTTCAAAATATATGGTTGTCTTCTAACATAATTTCTGCAGCTTTCTAGGTCAAGAAGGTCTTAAAAACATCATTTTACAGAGAAGGAAAATGACCTAATTAATAATCTACCTATTGGCCTCTTGAGTATATTTGTATTTTTTTATTAGTGTTTTGGCAGGCCCTCCACTTGCATAATGGCACATGTTATTTTAGATAATGCCACATGTGGCTTGTACTTGATTATACATCAACAATGTTATTTGTCTTACAGTGGTTTACGATTTTCAGTGCTGCCACATCCAGTACGTGGGGATTCAGAAAAGTTTCGAGCCTGGTAAATTTTATTAATATATCAAGTGTTTGCTACTCCCTCTATTCCATAATATAAGGCACAATTACTCTTAACCCAAATGCTAAGAAACAATTATTATTATCTCCTAGTTTAGATCACCCTAATATATAAATATAATGCATGAACGTCTTATATTATAAAACATCTAAAGAAAAAAATAGTTGTGCCTTATATTATGAAATTGGGGGTTTCAATTATTCATTTGAAAAATATTTTAATTCTATTGCAACTGAAGATAATATATAATGTTGAAATATATTGTCTGCCACATGTGTGCTAGCTGGCATTGTAATCACTATCATCAGCTGAGTACACATGGAAATGAGCAAGAAATATCATGTACGCGGGAACACGACACAGTATCAATCGATCTGTACAACACATATATGTCGACCTTTTCTTTTTCTTTCCATATATGCTAGAAAAACTGTAGCTAGCTTGATCGATATGTGAATTTCCCTGTTATTTTGGTCATTTTCTTCCGCGACGACCGATCGACCAATCACATCTTGGTGTTGCAGCAGCCATTTTCCATAGAATTTTGACACAAGATTACAAGGGATTGATCGATAGAGGCCGGCCGGCCCTGTGGAAATTGAAGACTATTCTGTCCGTGAGTGTATATAAATGTGTAACGTATATCTATATGGAATTAAAATTGAAGACTGACACAAGAGTATATATAACACAGCCAGAAGCATATTCTAGCTAGTGGCTGTTTCATGTCAATATTTTACACGCACCTTATAAGTATATACTCCCTCCGTCCCAAAAAAAGACAAACTCTGGTTTCCGTGTCCAATGTTTGACCGTTCGTCTTATTTGAAAAAGTTATGAAAAAAATTAAAAAGACAAGTCATGCACAAAGTATTAATCATGTTTTATCATCTAACAACAATAAAAATACGAATTATAAAAAAATTTCATACAAGACGGATAGTCAAAGTTGGACACGCAAACCCAGGATTTGCCTTTTTTTTGGACGGATGGAGTACGTAGTTGGGCACAACATAACAATAGCATTAATTACTCGGTCAAATCTGTTATTCTTATCCTTTTTGGTTTATAGTAACACATTCTGATCCTGGCTGGTAGAAAAAAAATGATTTTCGCACACCGGCCCCCACCCTAAAATACGGTCCAAAAGAAAAACGACATACATTGAGTTTGGCCGTGTTTAGTTCCTCCTCCAAAAATTTTTTGACGTATACGGACGCACATTTGAAGTATTAAATATAGACTAGTAACAAAACAAATTACAGATTCAGCCTATAAACTGCGAGACAAATTTATTAAGCCTAACTAATCCGTCATTAGCAAATGTTTACTATAGCACCACACTGTCAAATCATAACATAATTAGGCTCAAAAGATTCGTCTCGCAATTTACATGCAAACTGTACAATTAGTTTTTTTCGTCCACATTTAATGTTTCATGTATGTGTCCAAACATTTGATGTGATGGAATTTTTGGAAGTTTGAAGGGAACTGAACACAGCCTTTGTCAGGAACCGGGCTCAAGAGCTACCTGTGTAAACACAATATTTTGGGCGGCCACAACGATTTTCACATGCAGCTGTCTTAGGCGGCCACCCGTGATAATACGATTTTCACAAACGTTTGTCATAACGCTTCACTTGTGAAAATCGATTTATTTATATAGGTGACACAGTTAAAAAGATGCCCGGTACGGTGTAACGCCCCATTTTCTCGAGGTGTTGAAAACTAATTCAACGAAAGACCCATCTAAAAAATTTTCGATGTTTGATTGTTGAGTCTAAGTTGTGCCATAATCTCAATTTAAAATCCCTCATTTGTCTCCTTTCCTTGAATAAAAAAAAATAAACTCCTAAAAATTCCTACTCCCAAATCAAATTTGGAAATTCAATCCCTCTCTTTGAATCATCGCCAAATATTCCACCCAAATTCAAAACATACAAGATTACTCCCACTTTGAATCCTTCCTTGACTCCCCTTTTTGAGCTCAAAATATTCAATTTGATTTCAAATCCAAATTCAAATAATCCCTTCAAACAATGCCCTGGAAAATAACAAAAGCATCTGTACACTTGGGCCGCCCTTCCCTTTTTCTTGCCGCACGGCCCAGCCCAGCAACCCTTGCCCCTCCCGCCTGGGCTGTTCCCTCCTTTTTACCTTCGGCATCGAAGAGCAAAAGGGTTTAATCATACTTTGAAATTTTTAAGCATGAAAAAAGATGACATTGACATGCAAAAAAGGAAGCATGGAAACCAGTGTTGGGAAGACGAAATAAATCACAAATATACGGTATGCTAATGTAGTGTTCAATCTGAGACCCACAAGGACAAGCGACCATTAGTGATCATCCATCACAATGAAGATCATCTTTTTTTTTTTTTACATATTTCAAAGTTTCAAGAAAGACAACAGATAGTTGGTATCTCGTGTAAACAACAAAACAAAAAACTGAAAACGTCTCTCGATTATTTATCTGATGATTCCGCCATATGATCCCATACATAGCATGATAGTACACAGGTTGCCCAGAATGGTGCACAATGATCTCACAAACAACCGGTACATGACAAGCTACAGCCGCAATCAGTAGTCGTCGCCTCTGGATATGACTTCCTTGCAGGTTGGCCGGAGTAAGATGGTGTGCTCAAATTGTGACACATAGCTTCCCCTCACGTCGCACAATGGAGGATACGGCTACAAGAATAGCAGAAAACAGTGAGCAACCATAGGTAAGGGCACATTCAGACATTGGAGTGGAAATTGAGCTTCTTGCATACCTGAACAATACCAACGTCGCATAGATTTTTCAGTGCCATGAGATACTTGGTCTCACCAAGGCGGTCCAAGTACCGGCGACAAAAAGCAAGCGTTCCGAAATTGTTGTTAATCGTTCCAAGTAGTTGCTTAGCCTTTGCTACCCTCAGAGGTACATGTCCAACATCAAAGTTCTTCATGTAATGACTGCATTCTAAATCCTCCCTTACAAATCCCTTTCCTGCAAACATGACGGTACAACTCTTCAAGAACTTGAAAACATGCCTACTAGGGATAAGTAAATGACATTCACAAACTAGTATAAGTGTGACAAAAGAGTACTTTGTGTTTCAATCTATTAGTTCAAGCTATTGAGTTGCATATACCTGTAGATCCAAAAGTTTCAATGGCATAAAATTCCCCCTCTTCCATTTTTGTTTGCTCTCCACCTTTCACAATTGGAACTGATTTTCCAGCGTGGATTTGGTATGGTCCAATGCTGTGTCCATTGAGGTTCCGCACACTTTTGACTGCCACCAAAGCAGAAATGTCTTGCTTTGTCAATATATAACCTCACATTATCAGTGCAGATTGGGAAAAAAAATACAAAGTAGCACGCACTTTGGAAAACTTTTCCATTAATCTCAACCTCGTACGACTCCATGACTTCTTGGATTGCTGCACCAACATCACATAGCCGTGCATCTATTCCAGCTTCCTAATATGGAAAAGAAAAAAAATCAAAACACTGTTAAAGTACAATGCTGAGGCTATTACAGGAGAAAACAAATTAACAACTTTTGAATTGACGTGTCTATAAAATCATTAGCATGTGTAAAAAGGACAAAAATCTGTCCCTACGGAAAAAGTGCCTCACTCATTCTGACACCAACCATAGCGCTTTAGTATCTGAGTGCATCAACTTTCCAAAAACTGTTTCCAACAAATGCACCAAAATGTGTAGAAAATTACCTTGACTCCAGTATTAGTGGCATCTTTTGAGGCTTGAAGCAATGAATCAAACATGGGATTGAATGCAACAGTGAATGCACAATCGACTATGTACCCTGTAAAGAATCACAATATCAAGTTAGTTTTTGCAGTTAGAAATGAGCTGAGTACTCACAAGGAGAAACCCAGATAAAATATCACAACAGACAACAACAGAAGGGATGGAAGAAGCAAAATAATAAACATACCATCTATGTGTGTCCCAAAATCCAACTTCATTACATCATCATATTGTAGTACAGTTTTATCACCAGAATTTGGAGTCCAGTGAGCTGCAACCCTATGCATTACATATTCCCCATCAATTTAACAAAAGCATGCAGAATGAAGATGCACTCTTAGAGATTCAATACCATACCAATTCAAGGAACACCCTGTTGGAAAGGCAATACCAGCTTGCAGACCATTCTCCTTGATAAGTTTCCTAACCATATTTTCCAAAGTTTCACATAGATCAATCATTAGCATTCCAGGCTTCAAAATGCTCCTCATATGCTTCCGGACCTAGAAAATATATTAAGGAGTTGTAACAAACAGACAGATTCAAAACATAGCTGCAAACAATGAAAGAGACCACAAACAATGAAAAAGGCCAGTGTATTATGTACCTGTCTATGAACTTCTGCTGCTCGGCGAACAGCATTGTACATCGGCTTTTGTAGCCGCTCCAGTTCCCTCTTTTCCTCACTAGTTGTTCTCCATAAGTTACTGAAGATCAATAGGCCAATAGCACAATTACTTTATGCAAACATACGCACTATAATTTCATAATCAACTCATAGAGTTTGCAACTAGCAAGTAAAACTGAAAAGAAAATTGTCAATGAGGCAAGAATGATCTTAATGAAGTTTTCTTTAGATACCACAAGATACAAATATATTAAAAAGGGTATTCTTTCATTCTATTGTTGGATAGATACTTAGATAGTGCTGTACTTACTCATCCTTATATTGCTGAATTTCACCCTCGGGGAAATCTCCTGATGGGAAAAGTTCGTCTATGGGAATTGATGGAGGATCAGTCTGCTGAAGAGGGCCTTTCTTCTTTCTACGGAAGACACAAAGCATGGTCAGTCGCAAAACAAAACAAAATAAAGAGATTAATGGTCATTTGAACAACAGAGCATACTTGGATTTGCTTTTCTTCTTTTTCTTCTTTGCAGCTTCTGCAGAATACCAGTTTCAAAGAAAACTATTAAATTAATCTCATACCAATGCTACATATAATTTCAAAAGCCACAATTTTAGATGAGTAACTCGGCAATTAGATCTTGCAAGGCAGAGTAGAGCTACCTGATCCTCCATCTTGAGATGGACCATCCCCTTGCGCTTCATCATCATCATCTTCTGGTGGTGAAGAATGAGATCCATTGCTATCTGCAACTTTGCCTTCTTTTGATGAGGTCTCGCATGTTTCTCCACTAACCGCATTCTGCAGATGAACGTGTGCTACTTTAGATGAACTTGCACAATGCAGGGGCAAATTGGCAGAAGTTATGAGAGGTCTAGCCATCGTAGAAACCACAAAAGGTGTCATTACTACTACTTTCTAGTTGGAGTTGCAATTACATAAACTCAGTCATGTTATGGAAAGGCTAACCATGGTCTCTACATAACCTAACTGAGATATTAAGAATGAGGATGGAAGTAATAGTCCCCCATCCTCTTAAATACGTACAGTAAAGGAAGGATGTTGCTTGCTTGGAATGAGTGTTACAAACATAGTTCATGTAACTTTACTACTTTAGCAGCATAACACTTACTGGATTTTGTCCAACGAGTAGCGCCTCCATCTCCTTGGTCACTGCATCAGCAGAGCCGCCAGCCATATTGTGTAAATATTTCTATTGTCCAGTAATCACAAACCTGAATGAATAAATCCAGGGACAAATTACATTCCAAAATAAATAACATGTGTCTCTATTTGGAAGGCATCCAAACTTTTCGGGGAACAAACAAACTGTTACTTGTACTATTAAGGTTAAGGCTCTGAAATTAAAAGAAGAAGAGTTTCTTCCAGATCTAGAAGAGAAGCTAGGGTTAACTTAACGAACGAACGCAAGCAAATTCCAGTCCCGATGTGCGAGAGAGAGAGAGATGAATCAGAAAAAAAGAAAGAGGACGTGGATGCTCACCTCACCAGGATCCCCTCACCTCCCCTGCTCTCCTCGCCTCAGATGGAGATGGAGATCGCCGCCCCTCCCCGCGACTCGTCGCGGCGGCGGCGCAAGGAGCGGAGGAGACAAGGAGACGGCAACCTCGGCGAGCGGTGAGGGCGAGAGAAGAGAGGAGAGGAATTTTCAGTCTTCTAGAAGAAGAGGAGGATTAGGGTTGAGGTTGAGGAGGATATATTATTGGGCTTTGGTGGGCTTTCCAACATGGGCCTACAATTAAAGGCCCATCCATCTCTGCCTGCACGGGTAGGCCCATCTCACCAGACTGGGCTTCATGGGCCGTACAGTGAATGGGCCTAATGAGCTTACCTCAGAATTTTGATATACTACTAAGTGTTTTTTAAAAAATATTTTTCCTTTAGAAAAGAAATTTTTGATCGCCCATATGCTCTTGGTTTCTCAGTGGGTTTAAAAATTTATACTGGAAATTTGAAAAACTGTACTTCCAATTTGAAATTTCAAACTTTCTACTGCAAATTTTCGAAACTCTGCTCAAAACTTAAAACTTTATACTCAAAACTAAGAAGCAGATTGCCCTCTCTACCATCCATTGCTGCCAATAATAAATCTTTTACAGGACAAAAAAGAAGGCAGCAATGTGTACTAGTATCATCAAGCGATCACTACACTTTGTCTCAGAATCAATACATGACCAGAGGTCAAATGCATAGGATAAACTGGAAAACCCTCTGCACATAAATTTCTTACCGTACGTTTACATGACCTGAACAACTACTGACTAGATTGCACAGGAATCTATTCTCGGAGGGCCAAATCAAGAAAGGATAATTTCATGGACCAATCTTGGATCTTCGGTTCATCTTCAGAGAATAAGAACTAGAAATCGATCAGTGATTCATCATCCATCAGGCCTGTCATCAATCATGCAATCATGGGGATTCTGCAGGAGCAAATCAATCTAGAACACCTGAACAGGATTTGGCTTGAGGAGGTGGACATTGGAGAACATAATACATGCTTATCTTTGCCTCCATTTCTGGCTTTTTGCAAAATGCAGCGCAAGTCAAGAGCTCTTCTTGTCGATGGTTTTCGTCGAGGGCAATGTACCAAACACATGATCCCACAGCGTCGATGTTATTCCGAACCCCTTGTTTTGGATTCTGAAGTGATGGTTCAGATGGTATTTCTGATGTACAGGCAGCAGAAATAAGAAAATTGTAAGCATATGGTCAATGAGTCGCTGCAGTTTGCTAAGCATCGATCGAAATGGAATAAGCACCTTGAGGTGTTTTCCTGGATCAGATGACGGCTGCCCATGATGCAGATAGTAGTGTGTGCAGTCATACATCACATAACCCAACAGGCCGCCTCCAAACACGCCGTGAGTTGTAGTCGGAGTAGTAATTAGCCTGATTAGATTCCAGAACTGGATCGACCGACAGAAAAGGCATTCAGATCAAATTGATTAAAACATAACAAAATATCCAAATGAATGTTATTAACTACTTTATTTCACAGAGGAACCTTGATTACCGGAAAGCACAAGATAGCTGCAGCTGCTGGTGGAAAGACAAGTCGAAGGCCGTCAGTCGGGTGCTTGTGATGAATTCCATGAAGAAGGTAATGTGCTGTGTTTGTCCTGCCACATATCAAGTTAGCAGTGATGAGACGATGCTTAACTCATCAGTTCAAAACTTGAATTTTAGCAGTAATTTGGCAGCACGACGTACCAGTAACTTTTAGTATTTATGTGGAACAGGAATCGATGCATTATATACTCGATCAATGTCCATAGGCATATTCCAAACACAACCATCAGAGCTACTTCTGAAAGTGTGTGTCCCATTTCGACTGATTTAGTCAGGCACCAACATACAACAGGCAACCAGATAAGAGGAATTGCCCACCATTCCGTGCGTGTTAAGAACTGAAAAATGAACAGTTCATCAGGATATCATGTCCAAAATTCCAAATAGAAAAGCACAATAAACAGAAAAGTTACCTCTAAGACATCGTTGGCAAAAAGTCTTGGCCCCTCCTTGCTAACAATTGGTTGGTGAACCCATTCCTGATACTGCTCACCTAAATGTCCAACCTAAAAATTAAACCCAAAGAGTCATTATAAAAAGGAATAAATATAAGAGAAATCAACAGTAAAGACTGGTAACATTATACAGATATTGTAAAAGAGTATAATATCTTCAAAGGAAAAGAATGAACAAAATTTTGCTATATCATGATGTCACTATCATTATACAGCGTGAAACGATAATATGGTGAACACAAGACTTTCAAAATCGATGGAAAATTACAAGGACAATGAGTTACCTTACCTGAAATACAAGAGGTTCATTCAAATCTACTGTAAAGGCCTCTGCAACCATTTTCTCCAACAATGATTACTGCAGGTAACCAAAACTACAAAAGTAAGGGCAAGGGTGTCATGTATCAAATATAAGAAATATGGGACGAGTAAATGACAGGAAATACATTTGAAGCCAGGAGGATATTTCTTATGTTTAACCCGTCCCATATTTTACTGCAGATAACCAAAATCATGTATTTTCTGTCATTTTCTGCAGACCAATAACATGTATGGAAATCAGTGTGTGACTGCAACGATTGTAGCTTTGTACTATTTTCGTGCCTATTCTTTGTCCATGTTGGGAAATTTGATTTGACTCTCAAGTGATGCCACATCACCATGTTTACACATTTATTGGAAAAATCGGATGCACCAAACTCTTACGGCATTCAACCGTTACCTACTTTCAGGATAGTTATCAGTACAGCGTGACACTACTATTGTCTATTCTATGAAGATCCTGTGACCCAAAATCATGTCCATGGTGCCATTTTTCAGGCCTTCATCTCAAGGTATACCATAGCAACCACAAATTGGGAAGATCAGATGGTCCAAGAAAGCTGATCTGGTCCTTTCATACTAAAAGATCTAGAGCAAAAAACAAACAACCCTGTTCCACAGACAAGAGCACATGGCACAGGATTGCACAGACAAGAGCATCATGTGTGACAGTGTGACTCCATATTCTAATCAAGTTGTGCAAGAATACAAAGGAGCCACAGCTCAGAGAAACCAGTAGGGCATCCCACTGGAATCCAAGAAGATGGGGGGTACTTGCTGGATGGGGCTTAAATCAGCACTCCCATTAAGAAAGCTTTTGATGCTCATATCACTTGTTCAAACAGTTGAGTAGCCGAGAAATCAAAAGCAGTAATCAGAGGCATTTAAAGATAAGGCAGAGATTGTTGCAGCATCGATGCTCGCATTGACCCAAAAAGGCCGTAGCAAATGCTTGTCGGATCTTTATTCCAGTGTAAATTTTAGTAAACCACTCAGAGCATCTTGGAATGGTAGTAATTAAAGCGAGGACAGAAATACAGAATCTGAAAAAACTGAAGCTTTTTAACTCGAGACTAAATGTTTCTGACCAAAACATTCAGACATTAACCAAACCAAACCAAAATCGTTTGTTCTGATTACACCTCTGACGAATCGCGCTCGGGATCCTACGAGTTGTCGAGTATCGCAATGCTCATTGATAACCCTTGATTTTTTTCCCCCAGCCGGAAATTAAACAAGAAAAATCCGCGCTACGTTTACACAGAGGATAAAATGGATGAAAAATTGAGTCAAGCACAAAACTTGGGGAAACTATTCTAATCCCTCGAGGGGATATTCCCTCGTTTGCTCAAAAACCATCTAAACGGTTATGAAAAATTCTGGAAAAATTTGACAACATTCATACAACACATATATAAAACTTCACAAAATCTTAAGTCCAAACTCAACTCACATGTCGAGATATAAAAAAGACAAATTCAGCGTATGAATAGTACCGTATTATTTATATCTAAATTTGTCTTTTTTGTTTCTCGATTTGTAGATCGAATTTGAACATGAATTTTGGTAGACTAATAGGTATCATTATACTCTACATTGTCAATTTTTTTCAGATTTTTTCACAACTATTTGCATCGAATTTGGAAGAAAAAGGTATACGAGGGGATATCCCCTCGAGGGATTAGAATCCACTCCCCAAAACTTGCAGCCTTTTTCACGGATCTAAGGCTCTAGAAAGAAGAGATCGAGACGGGAATCTGGGCAAGAAAAGAAAACCTGAGGCCTCCGAGCGAGCAATGCAGATGGATGCGGCGGCGCCGGGCGGTGAACTGAGGCTGCCCCTGCTGCTGCTGCTGCTGCAGCTGGTTGGGAGCTCAGCTGAGGCCGCTCCAATGATAAGCTCAGTGATGGCCACCAACGCCAAGGAGTGAAGCTCTTCTCAAGGTGGTGGGAGAAGCATATATAGGAGCATACTACTTTAGTTTAGTACACTAGTAGTAGTGCTTTTTATTGTTTTTCTCCCTGAATTTTAGTGTCATTTTCACTATGCTCCAACTAAACATTGTTTCAAAAAAAAAACAGGGTTTACATTTTCGACGAAAATTGATCAGAAACCACAAATTTTTGAGGAAAAAGTTGCTCAAATTTTGGCAAAAATGTGATATTGCGGGAGGTCGGAATCCAACCCTCAATCGGAAAGTTGAATCCTGGCTCCAACCTACTCCCTTTGTCCTAGAAAAACAAATCTAGAACTGGACGCGACTTATTCTAGTACAATGAATCTGAACAGTCTTTTCTCCAGATTTGTTGTATTAGGATAAGTCACATACAATCCTAGGTTTGTTTTTTATGGGGCAGGGGTATCTAGTGTTGGTAGAGAAAGTACCAAGAGGTTCTAAAACTTTTTAGTAGAAATTTTGTTAAGCTATCAAGACTGACCACTTTTCACATTCTTCACACATTAATATCCAGGTGTCTTGTGATCTACTCCCTCCGTCCTAAAAAAAGGCAAACCCTAGGTTTGCATGTTGTATGAAATTTTTCAAAAAAAATTTTATATGAAATTTTTTTATAATTCGTATTTTCATTGTTGTTAGATGATAAAACATGATTAATATTTTATACGTGACTTGTCTTTTTAATTTTTTTAAAAAATTTTTCAAATAAGACGGACGGTCAAATGTTGGGCACGGAAACCAAGGTTTGTCTTTTTTTTGGACGGAGGGAGTAATATCCAGTACACCCCAAAAAGACAGAGGTTTGTACATTGATTTGGTGGTATTGATTTGGTGGTATATGACCTATATTTTGCATGCTAAACTCCAGTTAATAGTATCAGGGGCATATGAGAGCTCAATGTCAGAAATTAAATCCCCCAACTCATGCCATGCGTCTATCTCTTTAACTCAAAAAAGGATCTCCTAAAAGTAAGTGAATCAAACCCATTCCGGATCACATCACAAACAAAAAATCTACTAGTAGTAGTTTTTAGGGGAAAATTTCCCAACCAAACATCTTCACAAAAAGAGAACGGATTTCCAAAACTGGGAAACATTAAAACCATTTTCTTGGAAGAATCCATTATCGCCAATGCATTTTCTTCTTAACAGGTTAGTGATCCACTTAGCTAACATGGAGACGTTCATCCTAGGCGGTTGTGAACTTGTGAATACATTGTACTAGTACATTTCATTAGGAAAAAAACAACTTGTAGCTACCTGTATCAAGTATCAACTAGTATCAAACAGCACCAACATACATAATATATTCCCTCCGTTTTAAAATATTTGACACTGTTGATTTTTTAGTATGTGTTTGACCATTCGTCTTATTCAAAAAATTTAAGTACTTATTTATTCTTTTCATATCATTTGATTCATTGTTAAATATACTTTCATGTACACATATAGTTTTACATATTTCACAAAATTTTTTAATAGGACGAACGGTTAAACATGTGCTAAAAAGTCAACGGTGTCAAACATTTTGAAACGGAGGGAGTAGTATTTTAAGTTAAGCAGTGACGATGAAATTAAGCTTGCAATGTAAGGTCCATGAGAATTTAATGTTACCATGACAGTAACATTATCTGGGAATGATGCGTGAGATTGAAGTTGAAGAGAAAGAGAGAGGGGAATAAGTTCACTTGGTAACCCTCAAAAGTGATTGAAATCTAATCCGTAACCCTAAACCACAAAACCGGATATCTTGACCCCCAAACTATGAAAACCGGTGCAATTTGACTCCCTCGGCGGTTTTGGAGGGTGGTTTCGCTGACGTGGCGCTGACGTGGCGGTTTTGGAGGGTGGTTTTGCTGACGTGGCGGTATTAACCTAGTCTGTGTGTTGACGTGGCGCTTAGGTGGCATTTCAATTAAAAAGTTATACGTGGGACCCGTTTGTCATTCACACACACAATTGTGGGGCCCACTGACATGTGGGCCCCACACGGCATCTTCTCCCTTTCTTCTTCCTCCCCTCCCTTCTCTCTTTCTTTCTCCGTCTCCCGGGGAGCGAGCGAGCGGGGAGCGAGCGGCGGCAAGAGCTAGCTGGAACGGCGGTGGCCCACGGGCGGCGAAGGTGGGCGGCAGCGGGAGGGCGGCGAAGGTGGGTGGAAAGGAGAAGCAGGCCGCCGCGGCGACTTAGAAACCACGAGGCGGAACCACTCGAGGAGAGGGATGAGGGAGAGCGCGTCGCCGAGGAGGTCGCCTCACGCCGTCACCCCCCTACTCGGCCGTCCACCGAGAGGAGAAGTGCCATGATCCGGCCGCCACCACCGCTTCCCCTCGTCCTCCCTCTGCCACGAGCCGTCGCCGCCCTCGTCCGCCCGCCCTCTCACCGCTGCCGGCTCCCCACGTCCTCCCACTGCCACAAGCCGCCACCGCCCTCCCGCCTGCCGGCCCCCATCCCTCATCCGCCGCTCGCACCGCCGCCGGCTCCCCTCGTCCTCCCACTGCCACAAGCCGTCGCTGCCTTCCCGCCCGCCGGCCCCCATCCCTCATCCGCCGCTCGCACCGCCGCCGGCTCCCCTCGTCCTCCCACTGCCACGAGGCGCTGCCCTCACCCGCCCGCCGGTTGCGGTGTCGAAGACCTGGTCGGCGGCGGCCGAGCTCGCCGTACCCCACCGCGTGTGCCTCCCGCCACCGCCGCTGTGGTCTCCTCCGTCTTCGCCGCAGTGGAGCTCAGCCCGGGCGCCGCCGCCGCTCGCAGGCCGCCGCGCCTCCGCCGCTCGCCGCCGTCTCCACCGCTCGCCGCCGTCGCCGCCCGCCGCGGGAGAGAGAGAGGGAGCGGTGGGGTGAGATAATGAACTGAGGGAGGGGAGAGAGAAAGGACACATGGGTCCCACAATATGTGTCAATGACAAATGGGTCCCACACATATTTTTAATTCTAAACGCCACCTAAACGCCACGTCAACGCCACGTGTAAAAGAGACCCGGTCAATACCGCCACGTCAGCGAAACCACCCTCCAAAACCGCCGAGAGAGTCAAATTGCACTGGTTTTCATAGTTTGGGGGTCAAGATATCCGGTTTTGTGGTTTAGGGTTACGGATTAGATTTCAATCACTTTTGAGGGTCACCAAGTGAACTTATTCCAGAGAGAGGCCTAGTATTATATGGGCCTGGATTTTTATAGGCCACCGGGCCTGGGTGACTATAGGCTTGTGAAGCCCAGATCGAGTCAATCAGCTTGGGCCTCCGTGGTATTATCTGGGCTTTTAGGCCCAATACTTCCGGCCTAATTCCTCTTGCACCGTTTCTTTGACACTATCGTCTTCAGAGACAAACAACGATCATCAAAATACATAAACACAACTTGTTATTCAGCCACAGGATCTCACGCATATATTCAAATAATTCAATAGATTTTTGCATAGCATATAGAATTGCAGAGTTCAGAAAAGAGCAGGATTTTGGAAGGCTGCATGAAATTTCTTGGAAACAAGCTGCTTCAGATCAGAATCTTGGATTAGGCAGCACAACTGTCTGAATCCAACAGCTGTCTGGCAGCATGAGCAGATCACACAAACTGAATAATTCCCTTTTTTGTTTTCCATTGCCGAGTACCCGACACAGAGACAGACATGCATGCAATGACAAACAACCACGCATGAACCTAACAATTCTGAACCTGAACTGTTCATTGTGTTCTCAAGATACATAATCTGAACCTTTTTGTTTCTATCTCTCGAATTGTTTCTCTCCTGGGGTTTGGATGCTGTCGCTGTCATGAATGACTGAATGAGAAGATTTATCATCTATGCGGTGCTAAGTTCTAGCTGATCGTGCATGAACCTTGATTAGCAAAACCAATGCTGTTTTTAAACAGAAGATTTCAGCATTTCAACAAAATGCAGAAAGGTAATTAAACATGACCATCGATTATGATTCAGGGAAAGAAACAGAAACAAAGCCAAGAGGAGCAGCGTCGCTGTCATGATCAAGACAGATTTTACTGAGCAGATGGAACCTGATCAGATTTGTGCTGTCTGAGATTGTTTACTCTTTCTTAACCTTTCTTTTTGGCCTCCAACTTGTAACCATGATGATTAGGCATATGACATTTTTATTTTTTTTGAAGCAAGAAAGTTATTACATGAGAATGAACTTGAACTACTATCTGCCAAATCATCATGCTACTACTCACCAGCAGCCTGTGCAGAAACGTGCCTTAGCAAGTAGAAGAACCGGAGCACACCGATTTGAGAAAGGAACATCACAACAGGACAGTGAGATTTACATTTTACACACTGAAATTGCATGGCTTACATTTTACCCAGTGATATCTTTCTGTAACCTGTATAGAACTGCATATGCATGCAAAATAATACTACTGGAGTACCAGATCTTGGCATGTTGGTGGGAGGATTGTCTAAACTCTGAAAACCCAACCACTGACAAGCATGATCACAAGTTCAGAACACTGAAGAACTGAAGAATTCTTTTCCCACTGTCTTACAAACACACTCCTCACCGACAGAGACAAAACTACAGCCACACAGCACGTTGATTGCCTAGCAAACTTGCAAGATCTAGACGTTCAAAACGTTCTTTTTGTTTCTTTTGTCAAATTAAGTGGGTTACAATTAATTTTCTCCTCGAGGATTAATCATTACCTGGGCCTGAACTCTGAAGAAACCTGCTGCTTCCGCTGCAGAAATAATACACGCACGTGATAAACGCCAGCATTTCTTCCCGGATGCTGTCATGCATGATTGACTGAGAAAGCTAATGTGTTTGTTAACCAGCTCCTTAATTTGCCCAAATCGCAGTGGATTGGATTCTTTTTAGAACCAATGGGTGATTTGCACACGAAAATGGGCTTTTGTTTGTTTTTGATGCAGAAGATTGGGGCATGATTTAAAATGTTGATGAAATATCAAGAAAGTGATTTTTGGCAGGTAAAGTGGTGCTTTGGATCATATTGTGCAGTTTATGTGATTAACAGTATCACAAATAGTTGTATTGTCCTAATAGGATATTAGGATTGGATAGAAAGTTTCTTGGATAGGATATGCATATGCATGTACCCTGTAACAGAATCGATTCCAGTACGGAAGGATTTTCGCCAAACTAGCAGAATCGTACCTTCCCTTAGCTGGAGCCAATATGAGCACAGTTTTTTAAAAAAAAATAAATAAAAGAGGATCAAATTAGCACAGGTTTGGAGAAGAAACAAACACAAGATGACAGGATCAAAGATCAAAGCAGCTTCACTGTCTGGATAATGCAACCAGGCCACATTTGGACATGTCATAATATTGCAAGTTTGCAACTGCAGCTGATGATTTTTTTTTTTGAAATTTCTGCACAATGTGCCTGAAATTACAATGGAAGAAGCAGTTCTTCCCATCACTCTATGTCGATTTTTTTTCCAAACGATAAAAATCTTATTAGCTGTGTGCCTATGAGCAGAGGCCGGAGATGTTAACACCAATGCTCCTCCTCCTCCTCCTGGTTTATGGCAAAGTGGGGTTGAATAGTATGTGATCACAGAAGAAAAATAAGCTTACAAGACGTAGCTATCAACTGGTTTGTTTAAGACTTTCAGTGCAAGATCGCTGTCATTGAACTGTTCTTGTGTGGAGTTGGGAGAATGAGTCGGTCAACCGGACAGAAGCAAATCAATCAATCAATCAACTAATCAAGCATAAGAACGAGCATGAGATCTGATCAGGCATAACAACACCAACATTTCACTTCTTAATTCAGAGTAAAGAAGGAATGCGATTTGCAGTTTACAAGAACAGTTGGGATGAACAAGAACAGAAGAACAGAAGAGATGTACTAGTATTATACACTTTGATTTATGTCTTTTGTTTTTTTGGGTTCTCTAAATTTACAACAAACGAACGAACTCGATCTGAATTTCTGAAAGTTTCCCTCGGTTTCGAGGGGCAGCTTTCGGATTGATTTCTGAAGAAATTCAGAAACCTGAACTGATGGTGAGATGAGTTCATCATCACTAGAGCTAAGCTGGTGATCTCCTCTCCACTGAGCTGAAGAACACGGCGAAGATCACGGTCAGCGCCACCGCCGGGAGCTTCCCGCCGACGAGGCCTACGAGGACGACCGGGACGAACGCCGCGACGGGCAATGCGCCTCCTCGTCGACCATCCGCCGGCGACGCCTCCGCCATGATCGGCTCCGCCGACGTTGACGGCTGCTGCTGCTGCTCGGCGGCGGCGTTGCCGACAACCTCGCCGTGGGAGGGGGAGACCACCGAGGAATCCTTCTTCTCCTTCCTCTTGGCGATTAGCTTCCTCAGCCACCTCCTCTTCTCCTTCCTCTTGGTGGGATTGGTCGTCGAATCGCCGACGACGAGCTGGCTCATCTCGTCGCCGTCGGTCCAAATGGAGGAGACGGAGACCTCGCTCCCCACGTCGGAATCGGCGGAGCTCGGCCTGGGCGTCGCTGCCGCCGCCTCCCGGATCGGTGAGACGACGCCGCGGCCGCGCAAATCCGGCAGCTCAGCGGCGGTCTCCGCCGCGGGAGTTGACCGTGGCCGTGGCCGGAGGCGGGAGGAGGAGGACCTGACGGACTCGATCCAGAACAGCGACAGCGAGGCGACGGTGACGGCCGCCACCAACCACCTGCTCCAGATCACCATCAGCGCGAGCGCCGCCGCCGCGCCGACGCCGAGGAGCTCCGGGCGGAGCCTGACAGCGACGCCGCCAACCTTCTCCTCCTCGAGCTCCTCCCGCCCACTGGGCAGCGGTGTCTCGACGTCGGCGGCGGCAACGGAGGCCGTAGCGGTCGTCGTCGTCGGCGGGGTCGGGCGGCGGCGGCGCCTGGGCTTGGTGAGGAGGAGGCGGTCATGGTTCTTGACGAGGAGGTCGGCGAGGGAGGTGGGGAAGCCGGTCTGGACGGGGAGAGGGCCCGCGCGGGAGGGCGGGCGGAGGGAGGCGAGGAGGCGGCCGAGGCGGCCTGGGATGCGGCGCTTCAGCGGGCTCGGCATCGCCGGCGGCGGGCGACGCCGGCGAGCATAGGAGGCGACTGAGAGAGAGAGGCAGGAAGAAGGAACTAAAGTGGAGAGGAAATGGTTTTCGGTTTGGAGAATTTAAGGCGAGCGGTTTTGATTTTGATTTTGATTTTGATTTGTTTTTTTTTTGGAGGTTTGTGGTGAGCTCGGTGGAGAAGCCAAGGACGAAGACGGCTTCATTTCATTTTTGTTTTTTTAACGAATCGGCGAGTGACCAATTTTGTTAAATAGAGAAGTAGTAAACTATACAGACATAAAAAAAATATATAAGCTCAAGACCTTTGATCCGAGGTAATTTTATTTTTGTTTTGGGTTGTTTCTTTTTTATGATTTGTTTCTTTTTAATTTATAAGTTTGTTTCTTTTTTATACTTTGTTTCTTTTTAATTATAAGTTGCTGGTCCTAGTAAATTTCGATTTATGTGGGGGACAACTCATGCTATTGCATTTTTTTCCAAAGGGCTTCCATTAATTTGATGGGTTATTATTTTTATTTCGGTTCAATTTGTAAATCCTTACTTGGATATTTTTTTTCAATTCAATTAAATGTGGTTCGCTTTGGCGACCGTTCGTGACAAAGGATATTAGGACAGTCATTTTATTAGGGTTGGAGATGGCAAGTTAAGACAACCACCCTTATATCACCTCTCTCGTTTTTAAATAGATGTGGTTATTTGTCATAGCAATTAAATGAAGTAGTTTTTTTTATGTAATTTTCCCTGTTTTATTAAAGGGGGAAATATTTTAAGATGAAGATGAAAAAGTTAGCACATGGCAATAGATGATGAGTTATACAGTAGCATTGTTCGGTTACATCACATTTATACGATACAATAAATTGATTTGGTTAAATTTAATTTAGTTATACAAAAGATACTATTTAAAAGGAATATCTCCTTCAACATTAATGGGAGATAAGAAAGGGGAATCATGCCTCTCAATCATAATTAGTTGAAAAAGATGGCTCCTCAAAACCAAATCAGTCTACTAAGCACATTGCTCTCAAACCACATCAATCAACCACCTATAAATAACCACACAACACATCATTGTACTTACCAAGAACTCATCTATATGTATTTGAATCGAATGGATTAATTTGACATAAATTTAGTGAATTACATTAAAAAGCAGGGGGCATAAAGTACAGTATCGTAGGAGAGTTATTACAAACAGTTCCTATGTTCCAAACGTGATTTTTTTTTCTTTTTAATAATGTCAATGGAGTTTTTGAGCTTAACCATCCAGAGAAGACAAGCTAATGTATGGCGTGTGCCAAATTGCCAATGAGATCATCAGGATTCATGCACATCGCATGAACGCGTAATTCAGATATGATATGCGATTCATGCAAATTTGCTGCCTCGTGATCTGTGATTGGTTGGATCATGTACCTTTGACCAAGGATGTGATAGGTGACCAAAGGACCAGCATGTCCAAATCAATTCCGTGTTGTTAGGTCATCAATTATTGTTAAATTGAAAAAGGAGATGGAAATTAGGAAAAGAAAAGGCAGAACAAAAGCAAACTTTGGTAGTATTTCATCACAATGATTATGCTCCTTGCTAGTTTACAAATACATGGGCCCTTTTTTCGTTGTAATTGTCCCCTCCATTCAAAAAAGAAATGTTACTTTAAATATGGGCAATATTAAAAAAAAATCAAACTAAGTGGGAGTACCATGGAGTTATAAGTTAATACTACTTTCATATTAGTGAACCTGTGATTCTGTGATTTTTTTCTTAGTACTACTATCAGATAGTTAGGAATAAAAGTATTGTTTACATTGAAGTCCAAAAACCATAAAGAACTAGAAGTTGATACTCATACATGCAATTGCATTTTCAGTGACTAAAACACAGATAAAATCATTTGAGATCAAGGAGTATCATGTGCTGGCACTACCTTGTAGCTGCGGAAGAAGCAATGCATATGCAGAGCGTGCTAGCTGTTCTTGTCAGTAGTCTTCAGTTCTTCAGGTAAAACAAACCTCTTGAAAATGACAAAGTTTTTAATACTCCTAAGTAGTTCCAACAGTGCAAATTAACAGGCAGCAGCCATATGATTTCCAGTTGGCACTGCAGCTGCAGAGCACATTTGTGATCGACCGGCGGCTGCTTGCATATGTCGCCTGGTTATATATACCATCAAAAAGTATGCAAAATACTTAGTGCAGTTATTAGTAAATCCAGTATTGATTTATTTTCAATTAACTAGTTCAAAGGTATTTAGTTTGTTGAATTGGAATCACTATCCTATCGATTTCACATCAATCAGGTGGCACTGCTTACGCTCAACTTTCAGCTTCTTGTTCCTCTTTCGTTCTTTCAGTTTCAGGCTTTCACCTTTTCAAAGAAAAGTTTCAGTCTCTGAGGATGAATATTATCCTCTGTACATGCTGCATATACCTTTTTTTTCCCTTTATTTTCTGAATATTCCGTTTGCTTTCTTGCTAGCTGTTTCCTTGCACTTTCTAGCTAAGATCAGTAATCCTGTATACCCTTGCAGCTGCAAGTCTTCAATACTACAGCAAGTAGTAGCTAGTATATATGTTCGTACTTATCTTTCTGAACTCAAGTTCAAAAATAGACAGATCAGAGAATCTCGTTTATTTATTCCCCAAATGTGATAACTACTGTATATTCATAACACATTTGGTCCAACTTTTCTTTGGAAAAGAAGAGATAAATTTCTCACCAACTTTGCTTGAATTGATCATCAATATTGTACGTCCAGAAATTTCAGGGACAGTGTCGACTCTAGCTGGCCCCCATGCATTGCTAGCCTCATGATAACTCACAAATGATCAAACGGGCCTCGCCCTCACCAAAGCTGTAATCCACACCGCTCATCTTATGATTGCTACTATATTTACTTTACTTCCAAAATGTAAGTAATTTTAGTTTTATTAATTAACTTCCCTAATTTTAATCAAATTTAATAAAAATCACCAACATCTATAGTATCAAATTAGTTTTATTAAAATCTGCCATAAAATATGTCTTGATAACGTATTTAGTTCGTATGCTGATCTTAATTATTTTTTTATAAACTCGATCAAACTTTGAGAAAATTGATTTAGGATAAAACTAAAGCACTTATATTTAAAACCAAAGAGTATTAATTTAGTAGAACTGGTTCATTAAAATATTAACTCACTTGTGTCCCTCTATTTCTTTAAAGCAAAAGCAGGAGCTACCACTACGAGATATCTAGCTAGGATCTACAGTGATATCAGAGCAAGTTTAATAGTATAGGCCACTACTAGCTCCAATTCATCTATAGCCGATCTAATAGCCAATTCATACAATAGTTGCTTACTATACTATTAATATATGGTCCCACCTATCATACACACATTGCGTTTTGGAGTCTGTGCTGCAGCTGGCTACAGATCTGTAGCCCGCTGCTCTTCTCTCTCATCTTTTATATCATTAAAATATGTTTATAGCTAGCTAATAGTCTGTTATTGTAGCTGCTCTCATCGGTGTCAGACAACACCGACGATTTTTGACAAAATTTATGCTTAAACCGCTTATCCATATATTATAACACTATATTTTAAATATAATTAGTATGCTATGATACCGATAGACACAATATGATCACACTAATAATCTAAATTTTTGGATCCGCCACTGGTTGTACTATCTAATTATTTCAACATGGACATGGTAGTTTAGTATCACTCGGTCATTGTAAATAAGAACATGGAGATGGCTAGATTTGTACTAAAGATTTGACCTTATACAAGGGGCTTACGTCGCATGCATGAGTGGAGCGCATATCATGGCCGTAATAATTTTGTTGTTTGTGTGTGATGAGTCATAAGCATAACTCATACTAATATATAAGAAGAGGACAGTGACAAGGCAACACAACAGATTAGTTATATCTGCAGCATTTTGGGATCTCATATTAGCTTGATCTAGCTGCATGCAAAGGTGGCCGCAGCTAGCAATCTGCAGAAAATTAAAAGCCTTTTTCGATTGTTAGTTAGCAGTTTCTGATCAGCTAGCTACTAGTGCATGTCTACGTGTAGCATAGCAGCTGCCCAAATGATCTCTTGTTTATGCGTTGAGATATATTGATATTTTGGTCATAGATGTCTCTAGAATCGCTGGATTAGCTAGCTTGCTTGCATTTGCATCTCTGCTAATTAACTCATTAATTGGAAATAATTAGTCCTAGTACGTGCCTGTGTTTCAGTACACGTACCTGTGTTTCAGTCGTACTCGTCTTCTCCGGCGGCGGCGTCGATCCGGCTCTCTCCGTCTGACGACCTCGCCGGCAGCCGCTCCGGCCGGCAAGCAAAAATCAACTCTACCTGGGCCTGGTAGCATTACTAGGCCCAATAACACTAGCCGGACTAACATTATTCGTGGGCCTACTATTCAGCATACTTTCGGCCCAATAGTTTAGGCCCATTTGATCGATCGGCCCATGAATTTTTTTTGGGCCCTGATGATGTCAGGCAATCTTAATCTACTGCTGCTGCTGAGAATCTGAGATGAGTATTTAGTAGCCTTATGATTGTGAGGGGAAATTAAAATGCAGCCATGCTGAATTTTTCTTTTTTTTGTGGTAAACATTGAGTTATAGTGTCACAGTACATGTTGCTTGATTGATTTGTGAAAAAAGAAGAAGCAAATTGGTGTCATGCAGTATAACAAAATGAGACCGAAAGTAGGCGACATGTGGCCAGGCGTTGGCTTCAGCTTTGTTGGGATTCCACGATTTTATTCGGTGGCCCAGCCAAAGATTCGATGATTTTATGCGGTTTTCTGACGTGACATGGCTGCTGCTGCTGCTGTTTGTTCGCTTCTTTTTCTTGGTTTTATTCCCTCTTCCAACTTCCATCACTTTGCCTTTGCTTTGCCTTTGCTTTTGCTTAGCTTGCTCTATATATCTGTTTCTGGTCTAGTAGCTTCTTGTTCTTGTGTGTTCTTGTATCTTTCTCTGCTTAATCAGCATCTTTAGAGGAGGAAATTAACCATGGCATTCGTCAGATCACGCGTGAGTTCCCCTCTTCTCTCGCATAGCTTGTTAGTTGTTACTGATTGCCAACTTCGATCTTCTCTATGCCTGAGAAGACCGAGACCGATTAATTGACCATTGTTATATATGTTAATATGTACATCTCTCCATTTCTCTCTCTTGTTGGTGTTACATCCTCACCGTTTACTGTTTAGCCAGTAAAATTTGTGGTTTTACGGCGTACATAGCCAGATGGGGGGAAACTACTGAATTTTTACATTCTTTTCTGAACACAATATGGGTTCTTGTTGATGCATGACAGCATGAGAGCCCATCCGTACTGTAAATTATATTGCTCCGATTATGGTATCCAATCACCTGAAAATTTGTATAATATATACCTGTTGATTTGACTGATCAATAATACATTAATACATCAGCATGATGACATGATCTCTGATCAGATTATTAGGTTCCCTTTGTTAATTGTTCAGTACCATCAATTCACCTGCTTCTCTGCATGCAGGCAAATGCTTCCTCTGGAATCGGTGTAGCTGCCGAGTGCAAGCAGACATTTCTGGAGCTTCAGAGGAAGAAATCACACCGCTATGTCATCTTCAAGATCGACGACAAGTGCAAGGAGGTCGTCGTCGAAAAGACAGGTTCATCGACCGAGAGCTTCGACGATTTCATGGACTCACTCCCTGAATCTGACTGCCGCTACGCCATCTACGACTTCGACTTCGTCACCGAGGAGAACTGCCAGAAGAGCAAGATCTTCTTCGTCGCATGGTCGGTGAACCCCAAATGTTCAGATTTTTGCACTTGCTTCTCAGCTTCTGAACTGAATGAATTTCTCTGACAACATATATATGCACACTTTTCTAACTGAAAGTGTATGATCGAGTTGTTCATCAGTAACAGTACTCTTTTTTGACTGAAAATCTGATCTCTGATCTCTCAGGTCGCCTTCGGTTTCTCGCATCCGCGCCAAGATGTTGTATGCTACCTCCAAAGAACGGTTCAGGAGAGAGCTGGATGGTGTGCACTATGAGATTCAGGCAACTGATCCGTCGGAGCTGGACATTGAGCTTCTTAGAGAGCGTGCTCATTGAGAAAAATCAATCAATCAATCACTAGGAAATAATCATCATCTTGCATTATGAGATATTTGTAATAGCTATTATATATGTTACTATGTACTGAAACTTGCACACTGTTGAGGTACGGTTGTTCTGCTTCAGCTATACACAATTTCTGTTGAAGTACAACTGTGCAAGTATGAAAAACTGTGGGTTGTCTGGTTAAGACTAATTTATATACGCCTGTGCTTTCCTTAATAGAGTTTTGAATCAGTTATGATTAATTTATAATTGGCAAGATGATGTGCATTTAATGTGTAATAGGGGATGTGTGTATTGCACGTTCGAGATTAATTTGGAGGGAGACCACACACCCCTTACCACTGCACTATCAAATGCTGAAATGCATCTCTATAGCTAGCTTGCATCATATATGACACATGGATAACGTGTGCTACAGCAAGAAAAAGGGGATGTACAACATTCCGGTAACCATTTTAATACATTTTCTTCTTATATATACGGTTTTCATTTGACAGGGTTTAGTCTATGAATTAAATATAATTATTTAACCGGAGTGCTATACGTCACTTGACATATTCTTGGAATAAAATCTCATGAATTTCATAACCATGTGATTTGCTATGTGTGATTCATGCTTCTTCTTTGGTGAGCTCACAAGTGGTTGTGCTTTGAGGTTTTTTTTTTTCTTTTTTGCCAAGGGGGGAGAAGGTGTATATATCTTTGAGTTAGTAAGGATGGTGCCACCTCAATCACAGGAGAGGAGGAGGGCAGTGGGTTGGTGTTTGTGACGGAAAGCTTGTCGTTGGGTAGTTAGAACGTGACAGTAAAATCCACCGGAGATAGAAGATGGAAGTACGGGGGCACTGGAATTGGGAAGATGGAGTAGAAGTGATGAAATCAAAATCAGGTTGCAATGAAGAGAGGGAGCAACGTGCATCCAACATGCAATGCCGACCAGGCGCAGGGCAACAGAAGAATCATGTGATCCGGCTAGAAGAAATGTGTCGAATGACGCATAGACATTTCCTAATATTATCAAATGATAAATGAAATAAGATGGATTCATGTAACACCCCCAACCTATTTGAAGGCTATAGTGGTGTGTGGTTTAGGCCAGAGTGGTCTTGAGGTGGTTGTCGTAGTGATGGTTTAGTTCTACCTTGAAAGTTTACGCAGATGAGGATCTGCTTATAAGTTTTAGTGCTCCAATAATGATACCTTTTACATGAAGCGTGAACAAAAGTATAAACAAGATACTATACAAACGTGGGCCTGCTTAACGTATAGAGTAACAACAAGAACCCCCACAACCATTTCGATCCACTATTAAAAAAAAAGAACTCCCAAAAATTAAGCACCCTAGCTAGCTTAATTTACAAATGCAGAACACAAATCAAAGCTCTCGTCAACATTTTCCACTGAAGGCAATGTATTATGTACAAAAACATGATCCTACATCGTAAAACTTGTTCCAAAATCCAAATCCTTTTTTTTCTGGATTCTGAGGTGATAATTCAGACTTCAGATGGTAATTAACATTTCCTGTGATGTTTTCCCCACCCATTAATATATATAACTATATGTTCATGCATGAAATCAATCAATCAGTCACGAGGACTGATGATCAGACCAATTAACCCTGTCCAAAACAAGTGCGCGTATATGCAATAATAATCAGGCAGCCGCAGCAAGTGCAAACGCGCACGAACATACGGTAAAAGCTTGCTCAACCCGTAGAGCCACACCGCCAAATACACCACCACCGTGAACACGATGATCATCGGCTCGTACATGGCGAAGCCGCCGCCGCCGTCGTCGTCGCAGCCGGCCGGTCGGTAGTTGAGCATTCCGTAGTCGTCGTCGTCACCGATGGCCGGCGGTGGCGCCACCGCGGCGTGGACGACGACGTCGTCGTCGACGAAGAAGTCCTCACCGTCGTTGGCCATAGGGAGCGGTGGCCAAAGGCAATGGGGGAAGAGATGGTGTAGCCGGCGCCGGAGATGAGGAAGAAGAGAACTAGCGTGTTATATATATAGAATCGTGGCTGCGCCTCCATCACTTTCTGAATTCTGATTTCTGAAGAATTCAGAAGGTTCAGAATCTGCACAAGAAGTTCAGAATCACCATGGGATCCAGTCAACCCGATCCTTCGGAAATGGACATTAATTGGTTCTTATATAGAGACCGTGCTCATTAATCAAAAGGTAAAATCTAAACCGAAGTGTTAACCAGCGACGATCCAATTGTGATAAGAATAATTACTGCTACACGTGTGCTGTTGTGCGTGCTGTTTTTCCTCTTAGACATGTGTGTCTTTTTCTTTCTTCTTATAAAGTTTTCTCTCAAATTACTTATCCGATTTACAATCCAATTACATCATTGTGTTCATTACAATTAAATCTTCACAACAAGATCTTACATGATTATATTACGATGAAAAACTATTTATATTTGTAAATTGCTTTTATTATATACTAAGTTACTTTTATAATATATATAAGTTACTTTCAGATTTGACTAAATTACTTCTATACATTCATAATGCTCTAAGTTGATTATTTTTATTATTGTTTTTAGTTAATTCTATATTTTGTGGACTTTATAAATCTTCTCTACGCTTTACTTGCGAATTCACTCTACATAGTTTCTTATTTCAGCTCACTTACAATATAATTATTTCTACTACAGAGAGTTACTCCCCCCATTTCATAATGTAAGTCATTTTAGTATTGCCCACATTTATATAGATGTTAATGAATCTAGATATAGTTCTAAATTAAAATTACTTTCTTTTTGTTATAAGTTACTTCTATAATATATGTAAATTACTTTTAAACTTTACTGAATTTACTTTTATATGTCTAAAAAGTAACTTAGTGAAATCTAGAAGTAATTTAGACATATCATAAAAGTAATTTGTGATTTTTCATCAAAATATAATCATGTGAGATCTTGTTGTAAAGATTTAACTGTTACGAACACAACGGTGTAATCGGATTATAAATCGGATGAGTAATTGAAGAGAAACTTCTCTAGGAAGGAAAAAAATATAGATATTGAGTGTACTAGTAGCTTTTTTTTTTTGGAAAGAATTGTATCTCTCTTTAGCACTATCCAGCTAGCACTCTCGGTGTAGTTGTGTCCTAACCAAAACCAATCACTAGGAAATCATCGTACGGTTATTCTAAGAGTTTAGGTAGGGTTTAACATGTCAGCTGTGAGAGTTTCTGGGGTAAATCGGACTTCTGTAAAAGTTCTTTTTAGGGCCGGACGGGTAAATCGGACTTTACCCCTATACCTTAAAATGTTATTAATTGGGTTGGAATTGTAGATTTTTAGCTAGCATCGTGTCTAAATGTCTCAGGGTTTAATCTTTCGGTTTAGACGTTTCTATCGGAGGGTGCCGATATACCGAAATTTTGATATAAATTTTAGTCAAATTTGAACAAAATATTACCAAATTTAAAAAAAGGAAAAATAAAATAAAAACTTCTGCCAAAATAATATCATATTGGTGGGGGGGGGGGGTGGGGTTCCGATACGATCGAAATTTTAGAAATTTTGTTTTAGAATTTTGAACCCTGGTGAAGCTAATAATACTCCATCAGTCCCTAAGACAGTGGCTATATATGGTGTACGGAGATTTCTTCTTAGATGTTTAGGCATATTATTATCCAGCTAGATTCCATCGGTCCCTGTTTCTTTCAGCTTGGGATTATTATAATCCAGATTATTGGGAGTAAGCTGAAAGAAACAGACAACTTATTGAAGTAGCTTATTATAATCTGGAGCCCAGCTTATTATAATCTGATAAGCTCATTTAAGTGAGCTTTTTCCAGATTATTGGGTGAAAAATTACCCACCATGCCACCCCACTCCCTCTTTAGACTTGCAAACCCAATAATCTAGGCTCTAATAATCTAGGAAAGAAACAACTAATCATTTATTCTACTACAAATTATAACAATCTAGCTTATAGTAATCTAACTCAATAATCTAGATTATAATAATCCCAAGCTGAAATAAACAGGGCCTTAATTTGTTTGTTTGGTGCGTCAGATTTGTAAAGATTTGTAGCTGGCATTTCTGGTTGATATATTCATCACGTGGTACAATTACAAATATGAAAACTATATGGGTTATTTGGTTAAGACTAATTTTATACACATGTGCTTCGCTCGTAAAAGGTTTGAATCAGTTATTATCATATATATAATTTATATATATTTGGCAAGACGGCGTGCATTTAAAAATAAAACATAATATGTACTGTATCATATATAGGTTGCATATCGCACGTTTGATGTTTCTTAATTAATATATGTCTTATGGATGATGTGTATTACTTTAGACGAGAAAAGGACGCACAACATTCTGATATCCATTTTAATAAATTTCTTTTGATATGCACGGTTTTGATAGAGTTTAATCTCACTTAAGTATAATTATTTAATTTTATTGGATGTAATAAGATGAATTCTTTTGTACAGAGTTGATGTTCATTAGATGTAATGTTTTAGAACAATATTTTTTTTAAAAAGAATATAAGCACTTTCGGTGTTTTTCGTGGAGATTAAGGAGAGAGGTAAAATTTAATAGGAGATAGTTGTGACTTGTTGAAATGAGAAAGGAAGTCGAGCAATTAAATAGGAAATTACAAATAATGAGGGAGTAGTTCGAAGTTACTATATTATTTCGGGACAAATTTTAAATGTTAGAAGAAGTTATATATTGTGATGGAGGAAGTAGTAAACAAGAAGCCCCAAACATATTAAGCATTTTTGGATTTGTAAACATAGTATACAATTTAAATCAAATCTCTTGTCAATTATTACTGTTGACGAAGACAATGCACAACAAGCGTGATCCTACATCGTTGAATCATCTCTTACTGTACTATAATATAACCCACTAACTCCTAAAACTTAACATGCAAAGATGTCACATCATCATCCACTAACAAAATGTCATATCATGCAAACATGATATATTATTTATAATTTTATATTTTATAATTTATTAATTTTAATTTAGAGCTTCTAAAATGCAAGCATGTTAAATCATCATTCTACATAATTCACATAATATTTTTAATATATATCATTATTATTTTTTATAATATGCTATGTATCTATATATAGTTCATCCTCACTAATTAGTTAATGTTATTTCTCTATTATCTTATTAAGCCATATCACATCAATTATATTTAGTACTTAAATGATTAATCTATAGTAG